CTCCCCCCCATCGTTATCACATATACGCATCTTCCTTCGCCCTTTCTACCTTGTCATACTATTACCTCCCTTTCCCCTGAACCCCGAAAACGTCTTTCTCGGCCATGACTTGATGTACATTTATTATACCCAACTTCCTATAGGATCATTGACTGGTACCGTCTATTATACCTCATTTATACGTCCATACCTCCAACGGTGTTTTCTCTTTTCTTCTGAGTGGAACACCAAGTCCCGAATCACTCAAGTGCTACAAATATCATCGAGCCATGCAAAGTCTGTTCCAAGGTGCGAAGCTCAGCACCGGCATGATCATGTAACTGAGGTCCTGCGGGTGTTATAGATCGTTGCTTGCCTAACCCTCCAAGGTACGGTGGACACCTTGGTCTATTGGTTTGATAGTCCGCAGTATTTCTTACCCCTCAAACCGCTTTCCTTGGTGTTTGCCTGCCTTCCGTATTGCCTGGACCCGGTGTGCCGTCTTGATCGCCGGTCAATCCAGGTGATGACTTTTTATATTTCTTCAATCCAGGTGATGATGAACTTTTATATTTCTTTCCAACTTGAAGATTTATCTACCACTTCTTTCTCCTGTACCAAGTCTATCAGTATGTGATTTGGAACTAGCTAGAAATTAGTTATACACATACAGGCAGCTAGTTCCCAACATCCCGTAGATGCACGGGGTGTGTTTGTACAGGATACATACATATGTACCCTATGCTAGGAACTTGATAACGATCCATACTACATATAGTATCTCTCAACAATCAACCCGGCACCCAACCTTCCACGGCACCTCCTCGGCCCTCACAACAGTCTCCAAACCCCCAGCCAGTTCCCCAGCACCTCCAACCCCAAGTTCATCCCCCTCAACATCCTCCCCCCACGGCAATGCATCGACATCAACCTCCCACCCCAACAAACACCGCAGTATAACCCCAGAGCCAGCCTTACTCATAACAACATTCATCTCCTTACATCTCTCATCACAAACACACTCCACACAGCCCTGCGGCGAAAGACAAGAACAAGCCTCAATACGAGCAACCGCCCGCCGAAGAAGCAACCCAATGAACTCAAACGCCTTACTAGCAATCCCAGAACCACATGTCCCACCCTTCGCATCGTAGAAGGTAAGCCGAGCAGGCCTCTGCCGCAAAGGTGGCTTAAGCTTCTCCTCGAACTCACTGGGTACGTTTGCGCGACGCAGTGGCCTGCCGAGCTCTTTCTTCGCGACTTTGCATTCCGTGCGGACGTCACCAGGGGAGGAGACAACGAAGGAGGGTAGGAGGGAGAGAACAGCGTGTTCAGCGGCGTGAATGGCCGCGGCTACGTTTAGCCGGTGGGATTGCAGGATGTCGATTGCGCGTGTTGGGACATCGAGCCACATGCCCCTGGTAAGACGATCGATTGGCGGGTTATCAACGGCGACGGCGTCGAGAACGCGGCCGCGTTTGTCGATTTTGAAGAAGCCGTAGACTACGGCGTGGATTTTGATTGCGCCGAAGAAGGCGTGTGAGGCGGAGGCGGAGAGGTCGTTGCTTACTAGTCGCATTGCTTCGGTTTCGATGGGGTCGATGTCCGTAAAGTCGCGTTGCATGGTGTTCCAGTCGACGTGGACGCGGACAACACGTGCTAGGAATGATTCCGGGTTTAGTTCTTTGACGAGGTAGGTTGTGCCTTGATGGAGGAAGATTCCGCCTTCGTAGATTGTGAAGAAGGCGCGTGAGGCCTCGACTTCTTCGAGGACTACGTTGCGGTTGTTGGTTGTGTCTATCACGGCGAAGTGTTGGTCTTCCGTGTCGCGGATTGAGACGCTGCGCGAGGGATTTGGGCGAAAGCGTGGGTGGCAATGGTAGAAGCCGAGTGGATCTTTGGTGAGGCGGGTTGGGGCCAGGGCGAGGAGCTGTTGCCCGAAGTAGATGTTGTCTTCCTCGGGACGGATAGGCATCTCAAATGCAGCGCATTGGACATGGCCTTCGAGGATGAGCTCGTTGGATAGATCGATTTGCAACTCGCAATTTGGCCGTGTGAATATTTCATCTGGATTCTGCATGTAATGTTGGTCGGTTGGGTATCTGTCCCCGACTAGGACGGATAGGGAGTCCTTGTTACGTCGTCCAGCGCGGCCGCTTTGTTGGCGTAGGTTAGAGATCGAGTATGGGAAGCCCATGGTGATGACTGCATCCAGGGAGCCAATATCAACACCCAGTTCCAGAGCGTTGGTAGCCACAATCCCCATCAGTTTCCCCTCGAACATTTCCTTTTCGATTTGACGTCGGTCTTGAGGGCTATACCCGCCTCGATAGCCCATCACTAGGTTGCCAATCTCTGTTCGTTCAAGTCTATCAAACTCGGCGCGCACACCTTGTAAGAGGATCTCACATAGCTTCCTGATTCGGCAGAAGGCAATGACCCTCACGCCCCTGAGGATCAGCTGGCAAAACAGTCTCGCAGTCTCAGTGACCGTATCAGCGCGCCCAGAGGTAGGATCTTTGGGGTCTTTGAATGGCGTATTCCAGCAAACAAACTCCTTACGACCCGAAGGAGATCCATCAAAATCGACGAGTTTTACATCCTGTATCCCAAAGACAGACTTCATATGATCCTCTGGGTTTGCAACAGTAGCAGAGCAAGATATGAACTTGACATGCCGATTACCCACCGCAGCACAGATTCGGCGGAGGCGTCGCATGATAAAAGCGACATGAGACCCAAACAGGCCGTTGTAGACGTGCAGCTCGTCGACAACGACAAATTTCAGATTCTTCAAGAAAGTGCGCCAGGAACTCTCCTGCGGCAAAATTGTAACATGAAGCATGTCTGGGTTGGTGAAAATGATGCGCGCCTCGTCACGAATCATGTTCCGATTCCCCATTGGCGTGTCCCCATCAAAGGTTTCAACCATTGCGTGTTGCAGTCCGTTCATGTACTGAAGTAGATCCATCATGCTGCGGCGCTGATCTTGTGCTAGAGCTTTGGTGGGGAAGATGTACATCCCCCTGCTCTCCGGGTCTTTTTCTAGCTCGTGCAGCATAGGGACTTGATAGATAAGGGATTTTCCCGAGCTCGTTGACGTCGACACAATCACATTATGGCCGTCGTACAGGTGATTGATTGCCTCTGTTTGATGAGCATACATTTGGGTGATTCCTTTTGTGTTATACAGAGCATTGACAAGGTCTTGGGAGAGCTGGAATGTCAAATCTCCGTAGACAGGAGACTGGGCTTCGAATACTCGATGGCCTTCCGGCACAATCTGTGCATGATACAGATCCATCTGTCGAATCTCTGCAATGATTTCCTCAATGGACTTTCGCTCCTTTGGAATTGTTGCTGGCGGTTGCGCCACAAGAGGGGAATTTGTCCCACTGCTTGGAGGAGTCGGCAGAAAAGCATTCTTCTCTTGTTCAAGGGAATCCACTGGATCGATATTTTTGTCCTCGCATTGAACCAAAAACGCGTTCATAGCGCCTGAGAACTTGGCATTTCGTTTTTCAATCAAACCCAGCATCTGCTTTTGGCTGTAGACGGGCATTTTCAGATCATCGTCTTTCATGCGACGCATAGGTTTCATAGGCTCTCCAGTCTTCGGGTTCAGTACTTCCCGCTTCAGATCGCCGTCCATAAACTCAAATAGCAGAACCTGCTTTGTGTCGTCTGCATCATGAAGATCGCCACTTCTGGCTTCTTCGGCTGCGTCCATGTCTGCCGCAGATACCAGACCAGATGGCTTGTGTAACCCATACTGAGCTATCTCTTCATCTCCAACAGTCATTACTTCCAACTTGGTCTCGTCCACATATTCAAACCGGACTGCTCCGGGGACTATGACTTTCACCCGTGCCACATCCTCAACAGTGAGCTCTCGCCCCTGGCCAAGTTGAGCTTGTACTGCCTTTTTTATGTTGTCAAACGTGGTGGCAAAGTGTTTTCGCGTGGAGCAGAACGTATAAACGAGATTCAAGGCGCGATGGGTTTGCGAGAGACGCTTAAAGGTATCTGGTAATGGCGCAGATGGAGTTCGCTTCGAGGGCTTCGGTGGCTTTGATGTAACTTTTTCCCCTTTGCTCGTTTTTTTGGGGGCTATGGTTTTGATAGATCCGCCTATCTGTACATTGGGTTCATTGGGGGAGGATCGACAGGGTCTTGGGGCGACGCGTTCAAAGGTAGAGGCACGGTGGACTCGAGGCCGCCATCACCTTCATGACTTCGTTTCCTTTTTAGCGATGAGCCTTGTACTGGTATTGAGAAGGAGCCCGTCATGTCGAAGCTCCATAGTGCTCTGTGTTGGAGTTGAAGTCGATAAAAGTCCTGATTGACGGGAAACGCGAGGTCACGTGTGCCAATATCACCTAAAATGGCGTCCCCGAGGTTGTTTAAAAGGAAGAGAACTTCTTTCTCCCCTCCGTCTCTCCTCTTAGTATCGATCCATTCATATTGATCGTTTTTTTGTGCCTCCGTATAAGAGTTGATAGACTTCGATCTAACAAGTTAGCGACCAACGGAAGAAAACATTATCATATTATGACACCTATGGGTTTTGATATAAACACATATATGGGCGACTATAGGGATCACCGTCACATAACTCTCTCATTGGTTTATATTGCCTCGCAGTAACTTAGACCTCCCACTTGACAAAAACTAACCTCGGAATTACCTAGGTAGTTACATATGTAGTAGTAATATTGAACCCAGATGATGCCTTATAATGCCTTAGAAAAGATATATAAAGAGACAATTAGAAAGACAATTAGAAAGACAACTAGAAAGACAACTAGAAAGACCCTAAGAAGAACATCTAAAAAAGAAGATCTAGTAAGATGTCAGTGTATGTAAATAAGGCACTAGCCAATGAGAGAGTTACGTGACAGTGATCCCTATAGTCGCCCATACACATCATCATTATCACCATAGTTGACATATATTAGACAGACAGACGACCTTTTACCTGTCAACCCTACACCTGCTACTTCACAAATACTGCACTCACCATGCCAGTTAAGACTATTGTGCTCACATCTGCATCTTGCGCGACATGGGACGATCCAGATCTAACAGAACGAGTGAAACTAAAACGAGAGCGCAGTCCCCAGCTATACAACCTCATTGGCTTCTTTCACCGCCAGGAAAAGCAAAAATTCTCCGTGCAGGCCCTCGCTCGTCGAGGGGTGACAGCAATTGCCCTTCCAGATGTAGAATCACTCTTGTCAGGCGAGGGTCATTTTCGACCACATGCTACCTTCCATCCTAAGATAAAGGTGGATGCCTTTGACATTCGAGATCCAAACTCGGAGGAAGATGCAGCTCACTGGTACTTGGAGATTCTGAATATACTGGAAAGAAAGACTCAGCAAAAGCTTGCTAAAACCCGTCCACGCGTCCGCAACTTTGCTAATGAATACGGCCCGTGGGCTTCACTTGTGTATGTCTCTGCCCCCTGATAATTCGCTATATAATGTCATCACATACAGGTGCAAATAGTCAATATGAGATACTAAGATGATTGCATAGAACCCAAAACCCGTTCTTCGGTGTGATAGATGGGTTTTGGGATAGTGGAGTCAGGAGTGAAGAGCGGTACATCCAGACTCTGAAGGAATGGAGGGGCCCAGGTCAAGAATCCGAAAATGCGATCTACAGCTCTCCTCCCCATGTCCCTCCCCCCATGTGAAAATGAGTATCTCCCACCACGCTGACGCCCCAGAAAATGCATTGTTGGGCACAGAAATGAGAGCTATTCTATCAGCGATTTATAACCGTGTATACCAACCAGGTTATGAGGAAGAATCAGTGTTTCCGGTGAGTTTTAGAAACCCCCAATAGCGGTTACTAGCCATGACTTATTCCTGAGCAGATCCTATATATCTCGCAATATAAATTTCGTCAATTACGCGTGATCGAAGCAGTTTTCGATCTGCCTCAGCAAAAGCTCACCTTGAAATTCACCCCGGCTTATAGCTTTTTGAAACGGAAGGAGGCTCCTTGGGACCTTTTCTTTTGTGTGAATGAAAGCTTACCACGTACGCTGGAGGAACTATAGGCACCAACCAAGGTGGTGTCCAATACTGTTGTGGCAAGTGTCACTCGACCCTATGTGACAGGACTGGAGTCTCCTCTCCCTCTTCTTCTTTTCCCAAACCCTTTCGTAAACACCTCCTGGAAAACAGACCCTATGCCCGGTGGGTTTCCGACCGTAGTCCGTTGGTGGTTCCCCTGCCTCCCATTTCCGTTCCGGCCTCCGATTGGGAGAAGCTGGCTAACGAAGAGAGTCATTATCCCCGTCTGCGAGTGGCTGAGGAATCGGCCCGCAGTTGGTACACTGGTGTTTTGGCCTTCCATCACTGCTGCTGGACAGCGCCCAGCGATGGTACACCACAGATATCTCCGAGCTAGCCAGAATAGGACTTCGGAGTGTGGATGCCAATCACCCCGAAGGCTAGTTCGCAGCTCTTGAACGCCGCTTCAAGCCACATGCCCCCACCGCTACAGCCCAGCTACAAAAGTGTGAATGGTCTACTCGGAGGACAAATCTCAAAGCCAAATTTGGCGCCTCTGACCTTCGTGTCATAGTGGACGGAGCCCTTGTGGACTCGGAAAACCACAACGTGAAAGCCTTGATAGAGACCAAGAAAGAACCGTCCAAAGGATTTGGAACATCCAGTCGCGTGACATGGCAACAATCAGCACAGGTAGTCACGGTCATAAGGGACCAGAGCCTCCCCCACGGGACTCCTGTGTTTCTAATCAGCCAGGAGGCCAAGGAGCTCTTTCTGGTAGTCGGGACATTCGGAGAGAAATACCTTGACTACATTTCGGGTAGAACAAGGGAGCTTGCATCAAAGGACTTCCTGGAGCTAGAAAAAAAAAAAACAGAAAAGACGAAAAAAAAGCAGAACTACTTACTCTCATGGGGAAGGCTTAGAGTTGTTATTATTGCAGTTCATTAGTGATCTTTAATACACTTATGTGAACATTCCTTTACTATGTTAGCATCTCACCTATAGAACCAAAGACCATGCACTCTTTACCCCGTCAAAAGCTATTTGAATTGTCATATCGTGTAAGTGTCTATGATTTATATCTTTAGAATGATATCGTTTCGCTAATAAAAAAGTATTCTCCTTATTCCCACCTAGCCCTACTGATACCCAAGTCTCTAAGGTGGTACTCAGACTCTTCTTTCTCCATGAACTCGGAGAGCATACTCTCCCAAAATATCCTTGCGATTGAAGGACCTACCGCACCCTTCTCGGTGGCACTTGTAAGCACCGGGGAAGAGTATGATACATGTATCGCATTCCAGTTCTTCATACAAAATTGTATGTAATTTTTAAGCCCTGGAGATGTGAGACATTCAGCCACCCCCCCCCCCCTTCCCACTGCCAAGAGATTCCCCAAACGAGTTATCTGATCCCAACCCTATTCGACTCCATACACAGAAGAAATAGTGGCCTATATAGAGAGTTATGGAGTATATTGACCTCCCTTTTGAGATATATCACTGGTACTCCGTATATTACCGAAGAATTGCCAGGATCTGGCAATCCAAACCCACTTTCCGGTGCTCGGATAGATTTGGCGATTTGTCTATTGGTCCACCATAGTTCGTATAAAATATGGACTAGTAGTATATAGTTAGCACCGCCGATCACTTGAAGAGTGGACTCCTATTGCACGGAACTCGGGAAAAAAAAATTCAAGGCTTTGTCATACCAATGCAGGGGAAGCTGGAATGTTGGGATATAAGAGTGGCCTCTCTGGTAGCTTTCCCCAAGTGGGCCGATTGACATTTTGCATTTGCGAACATAATCCAATCCCTATAAGGGGGGATCTGCCAAGATGTTCGGTCGATCTATCACGGCAGTGCTGACACTCGCACTTCTCATCAATGGCGAAGCAAAACAGCCCATTCGACGCCCTTCCACACATTCCAGCCATCATACTCGTGGATCTAAACCGATTGATACGTCAAATTATCGATTTCTAACCAACAAGACAAAATGTTTGCTTTATTCCATTCCGTTCGTTCAATCTTTCAATCTCGACTGACCAAAATGTAATATTTTCACAGCCCATGTGGTAGAGAGCCTACCGGATGTTCATTTCGAATTGGGAGAGATGTACTCGGGCTTTATGCCCATCCGTGAAAATGATTCCTTGTTTTATATATTCCAGCCCAAGATTGGGGAACCGAGCGACGACCTCACAGTTTGGCTGAATGGTGGACCGGGATGTAGTTCAATGCAGGGGTTTCTGCAGGAGAACGGTCGCTTTACCTGGCAACCCGGCACCTACGAACCAGTCATTAATGAGTATTCATGGGTTAATTTAACCAACATGTTATGGTTAGTCATTAGTGAAATACATATCCATGTAACCGACAAGCTGACCTGAGATGTTTAGGGTTGACCAACCGGTTGGAGTTGGGTTCTCAAACGGTACGCCGACTGCTACCGGCGAGGAGGAGATCGCTGCCGATTTCGTCAAATTTTTCCAAGGGTTTCAAGAAGAATATGGTATCAAGAACTTCCGAATCTTCCTAACTGGCGAAAGTTACGCGGGTCGGTACGTGCCCTACATATCCGCCGCCATGCTCGACAAGAACGATACCGAACACTTTAACCTCAGCGGTAAGACTTGAGAATCTCCCCAAAGCTGCATTATATTGGTCGCACATGCTCATACATACTAGGAGCTCTGATGTATGATGCGTGCATCGGCCAGTGGGATTATATCCAGGCTACACTCCCCGCTTACCCCTTCGTTGAGCAACATGCCGACCTGTTCAACTTCAACCAATCGTTTATGGGAGAGCTACAAGCTACCTACGAACAATGCGGTTACAAGGAATATTTCGAAGAGTATTTCACTTATCCGGCCTCTGGAGTCCAGCCCTCCAAATATATGGACTATTCCGAATGCGACATTTACAACATGATCTATAACGAAGCTTTCACCCCAAACCCATGTTGGAATCCTTATAAGATCAGCCAAACATGTCCACTCTTATGGGATGTCCTGGGCTTCCCCACCGACCTTGCCTATGAACCAGGCCCGGCAACCTATTTCAACCGCACAGACGTCAAGAAAGCTCTGCATGTTCCTACAGATATCGACTGGGAGCTCTGCAGCCTTGAAAGTGTCTTTGTGAGCCCGGACCCAGGACCCGAGCAACAATACGACGAGTCCGCGAATCCCACAGAGCATATCCTACCGCGGGTAATCGAGGCGACTAATCGGGTTTTGATTTCGAACGGAGATTGGGATTATCTGATTATCACGAACGGAACGTTGCTGGCGATCCAGAACATGACCTGGAATGGCGAGCTGGGCTTCCAGACTCGTCCCACCACTCCCATTCACATCGACATGCCCGACTTGCAATACGCTGCGGTCTTTGATGCCCAAGAAGGATATGGCGATCTGGATGGCCCACAGGGCATGATGGGTGTTCAACACTATGAGCGTGGTCTGATGTTTGCCGAAACCTTCCAATCAGGTCACCGACAGCCCCAGGACCAAGGCCGAGTGTCTTATCGTCATGTCCAGTGGCTGTTGGGTGATGATGATCATCTTTGATGCCCTTTAGAGATGGAATCTGGCACTGCGATGATGTGTTGTAGAAAGGTTGCCAGATGGGCGGCCAGAAACGGCATCACTTGTAACCATAACACTTATGTTCAAGAATGATAAGACTTGTACAGGACTTAAATGACAACAGATCGCTGGGTTTACACAGTCCGCACTTTATGTATATCGTATGGCACCTTGGCCCAGTATATTAGCGATCAGACACTGATCAGTACTGCAGTGGTGTTTGTTACAAGTTAACTTGAGTGGCTCTTAGAAATGTCTGAATCGTTCTTGTATTTGCAAGACTATCTTCGTGACTGACTGATTAACTCAAATTTCCTCCATAATATCCTTTAGTACATCAAATAATTCACCGGTATGCGTCTCATTCCCTAGCTATATTATATCATTCAATGTTAGTATCACGAGAGAAGAAATGAGAAGAATTTGGAGACTTACCCGGAGAAGGAGGCTCACAACCTTCCCGTCTTCGTTGCTGGCGAGATAGATATCCCGAGTGGTGGGGCGAGAGCCCTTGGGGTCACCAAAGGGCATGGTACGCCAAACCGCACTGTTCAACATGACACGCAAGGCACCATCGGCGCGCATGATAATGCGACCAGATTTCTTTCCACCGGCCTCCGTCTTGAAGTTGAGCTTGAAGGTGCCGGTACCACGCTCCTTCCATTTTTTGTTTTCAAAGTAGTACAACTTGCCCTTGGCTGCGAACTCGGTGCTCTCATTTTCTTCGCCGGTTTCAACTAGGGGTTCACGACCGAATGAGTTACGGGCCATATTCGGGATCAGGGGCGAAGGCAGGGGGGGGGTCCATACCAGTTTGTGCGTGGAAACGCTTGTCGGTCTTCTCAGCAACAAATGTGCCAGAGGGTTCACCGACTAGTCCATTGTCACTTTCCTCGTCGTCGGATTGATTTGCACCGAGGGTCTTGTCACTGGACTCGCCAAAGGAAACAGGGGCATTGGGGGATGCAAAACTGGTCAGTTTACCAGCTCCAGGGAAACTGGTGGGGGCGTTGGCAGATGCAAAGCTGGTCAGTTTACCGGCCGTTCCAGAGAAACTGGTGGGGGCGTTGGCAGATGCAAAGCTGGTCAGTTTACCGGCCGTTCCAGAGAAAGCAGTGGGAGCATTGGGAGACGCGAAGCTAGTGAGTTTACCAGAGGTAGCAGGGAAAGCGCTACCAAAGGCAGAGAAGCCGGTTCCGAGGGCGCCGCTGGCTGCAAAAGGCGAAGCATCAGAGGTCGATTTAGTTGTAGGCATTGCGAAAGGTGAAGGTGCGGCAGAAGCCTTTCCGAACGCACTAGCCGTAAAAGTCTAGAATCAAGTGTTAGTGGAAGATAGAAGAAGAAAAGCCGAGCAAGTTGAGAGAGCAAACTCACCTGGTCCACCTTAGCCTTGCGCTCCTCCGAATTGTCGCGGGGTCTCTTCTTATCAGGTTGTCCTTCGGCAGTAGACTTTTCGTCCGAAGTCGTCTCAGTCAAGCCAGGTGCGGGGTCTGTCGCAGTGTGGGAATACTTCGAGGCATCATCCTCGAGTTGTTCTCGGCTCCGTTTCTTCTTGAGGGTTTGTGAAGATTCATCCTCGTTTCCGCGGGCGGTTGTTTCAAGACTCTGTGGGGGTTGAGAGTGGTCAGAATCAATGACTTGAACCATGGGTTTAGGGTAATCGGGATTCGTTGGACTGTGTGGGACAGGAGGGGACGAGGGGTATTCTGGTGAACGGTAGTCAGGTAGAGAGTCTTCAGATGAAGAATCTCCAATCGACTCAGGCTCTTCATAAATGTGGAATGAAGGGTCATCATATATGTAGGACTCAGGTGAACGGCGCCCATGGACACGCTCCCCAAGAGAAGGTTGTGCGTGTTCGGGGGATTGTCCAGGGGAGGACTGTGCAGGGGAGGGCTGTACAGGGGAGGGCTGTACAGGGGAGGAGGCTCCAGGGGAGGAAGGTCCAGGGGAGGAAGGTCCAGATGGGGGAATAGGCTTCGCAGAAGGAATGGTAATATTGATTTTGGAAGATTCGCCTTCAGCGGGTCTCGAAGTCGGGGAAGCCGAGATCATCCCGGCTGTCACCTTGATACCAATCTCAACAGGAATGGTCACATGGGTAATTTGCTCGCATCCAGCAATTGAGACATTGATCTCAAGCTCCAGGGGAAACTGGACCTTGGTGGTCTCGGGGATGTGGCTCATGGTCGGGTTGTGGGACAGACGTGTATTGTGAACGGAAGTGTTTGCAGGTGCTGTGGGCAGCACATAGTCACTCACATCTTGGGTAATGGCATCTTTAGAGATTCCAGCGTGATTGGAGTTGTCTTGCGTGGTGTTGTCCGGGGTGCACTCTCGGGATCGCTTAGTTGGGGGTGTATTAGTGGCTCCATCTGTGTTGTCCAAGGAGCGCTTTCGGTTTGCACGGGCAGAACCGTCCTTTTCAGAGTCAAGGTTGGTCTCCTTGAGCTGTTGTCGCACGGGACGTTCGGCGCTGTCATTGTCGGAAGAAGGCGATTGCGCGGTTACTGTCAAGACGATATTGTCAGAACACTTGAACGTTGGAGAAAGCCGTGTAGCAGAAAGGGGATTGTAGGTATAAAGGAAAGCTGTAGGGCAAAACAAAGACAGATCACTAAATCAAAGCGCACCTCTGTGGTCCATTTTCAGTTGCTCTGTTTCCAGAGCTTTGAGGTTGTCAGCGAAACTACCCAACTATTGGATTTAAGGCTATGCGCCTAAGCAATGATGACATACCACCTGCCGAGGAGTTCGGCTCACGGGAAGTAGAAGCCATGGAATCGGAGTCGCGAAGTTTGCGAAGAGAAGAACAAGAGAATGAACTTTGCGAAGAGAAAAACAAGAGGATGGAAGGGCGAAAAGATGAGAGAAGAAGGAAAAGATAGCTTGCGGGTTCTTATAACTTGACCGCCGGGTGCGGGGCCCAACAAACGGGGGATGCTGTGCTCTGCTCTGAATAGCTGAATAGCAAAGCGTCAATGGAAAAATGGGAACAAAGCATATTCATCTAAAGAATCACAATCGTCTATTGTCATCTATTGTCGTCTATTGTCGTCTATTGTTTCCTAGGGTACCTCGATAGATACAATTTGCATAAATTCAATTCAATGCCTGGATATACCGGTATCCGCGCTATTCTAATACAATCAATCCAATGTTGTTGAGATTCATTGCGCTGATGCCTATTAGAGGCATGTGACGGCGCATTCTTCTCAATTACTGAGCACAATACCACAATAGAGAGCCTTAACTGATGAAGCAGAGACACCCGATCGCAATGTAGAACACAAACAGCGGGTACACTGCGATTCCGACTCGGTTCCGTACCACTCCTGAGCCTCCTAGGATGCTTACTCCAGCTGCTAAAGACCATGCGACTAACACAAGATATACTGGTATCCGAGCAATGGTAGGAAGTCCCACTGCACTCAGCATTGCGGCAATGACCAAGGGGAATAGCGTATAACCGATAATGCAAATCGACTGGAAGAAAGAACTAACAGGCCGGAATGTCAGTAAACTGCGATATTAGGGAGAACATTCCTATAACACTTACATCTTGCCACCAAGGAGCTTGATCTGAAGAGTCACAGCTGCTTCTCCGATCCAGACAAGACAGAAGACACCCGAGAAAACCACCGACGATTGATCACCCTTTGCGACAGACAAGAACAAACTCAGGACAAGGCAAAAGACAAGCGGTCCCCTAGAGTAAATCCCGTGTTAGCTTTTATGCTGATTTTTCGTATGTAGGGTAGCTTACCAGAGATCCCAGTCCCGCAACCCATCGCTCATGCCACCCTGCAGGACAACGTCGGCATCCGGCCAGCGTCCAACGAGTCCTCGAATGTTTCCACCAAATCCAGACACTCCACCTTGCTCAGAATCAGCGGTACCGCTGCCTCCGCGCTGCAGCATTCCTCCAAGCAAGTATTTCGGCCAAAGCACCTGGCGCATCTTCTCCCACACGGCAATCAAGTCGCGTGACAATGTCTCCCAAACACTCTCGTCGATGGTATTTTGCGTCGCACGGCGATCCTCACCACCCATAGAGGATGTCAAGTAGTTGCCGTAGCCAGAGGCATTGCCGCGGTTGCCCGAGCTGGATTCGATGTTGCCTCGCAGAGGGGCCGTGTCGGTGTCGCGTAGGGGGTCGTCAGCGTCGACGGCTAGAATCACACCGAATTAGGATCTTGTCGATACGCTGATACTCTGGTAGTTCAGAGGGGCAAATAAATGTACTCACCATCATCGGCTTCGATCAAATCATCACCAAGGAGAGAGTCGTCATCATGGGGTTCATCATGGGGGTGGCCTCGGTGTACGGTAGCCATGGTTCGCGTGGTATGGTCGTGATGGTCGAAAGACTAGCGCAAGAATGGCACCTTCTTTAGTTTTTAGTCCTCTCAGAGGCGAAGTCGACAGGAAATGTCAAGGTAATCGGAGGAGTATGAAGGTCGAGTTGGTCAAAGCTGTCCCGGAAAGGCTAGAGTGGCATTACGTACTGGGTCACGGGTAATGTTACCAGGCACGTTCTGTTTCACCTTTCACATCTACGCTCCTCTTGCATACATGTATGCATACATATTAACTAACTAGTTATTGGCTTTTTGATTCTAAATCATTTCAGTAGTCTTCTTCTATCTTCATAAATTGAATCATCATCAGATCTCATTAATTTGATCAATCTTCCTCAGTACCCTCGACATACGGCTCCTCCTCCTGATACACATCGTACTTATACTTGCTTCCAATGTGATCAGCCCTGAGCTCTCTCTGTCCCTTACCAAAAACCTTCTCACGAGCTGTGAGAGGTGCCTCCGAGGAGTCTGGGAGCTCAGGATAAAGACCACGTCGCCTCAGCTCCGGGATAAGTAGGTCAACCACCTCCTCAAAAGTGCCAGGCGTGGTAACATAGGCAAGATTGAACCCATCGAGGTCAGCCTCTTGGATCCAACGCTCCATCTCATCCGCAACAGTAGCGGGGCTTCCAATAGCCACCGGGCCAAGACCACCGATTGCAGCCCTCTCAGCAACCACGCGAGGCGTCCAGCGCGGGATTTCCTTGCTAGTCGTGGTTAATGAGTCAAGCAAGCTAGTGACTTTGTTTGCCTCCAAGGAGTCTGAAGCCGTGATCTCTTGGTCCAATGGGATTTTGGAAATATCAATGCCCGTCCATCCACTGAAAAGCACCAGCCCTCCAATCACCGAGGCGTATTTCTTTAGTTCCTCGTACTTCTCCCACGCCTCTTCGTCGGTATTGCCTACAATCGGCGTGAACGTACCAAAGAACTTGATTGACTGTGGATCACGGCCTTTTTCTGCGGCTAGCTTGCGGATGTTTGCGATCTTCGGCTTCAGCACCTCTGGCGAATGGGAAGAGACAAAGATTGCCTCGGCGTGTGTCGAAGCAAATTCCGATCCTGCAGGCGAAGTTCCTGCCTGGAAAAGGAACGGTGTCCGCTGCGGAGACGGGTCGACGATGTGTCGTGTGCTCAATGAGAAGTATTTACCCTTGTGGTTGATCTGGCGGACTTTCTCCGGGTCAATGTACGTGTCTGCTTCGGGTTTGGGCGACAGAGCATCAGGGGCCCAGGAACCCTCCCACAATCTATACACAACAACCGCCGAGTCAGTCTTCAAAAACATCACCCTAACCGAGCTTTGGGCATGCAACTCACTTATAGAGCACCTTCAAATACTCATCTGCCTGGCGGTACCGTTCGTCATGCTCAATTGGAGTATCCACACCAATGGCTTTGAAAGCCGCTTTCTTATATGAGGTCACGATGTTCCAACCCAGTCGACCATTAGTCAAATGGTCCAAAGTTGAAAAGCGCTTAGCCAGCAAAAAAGGCTGCTCGAATGAAGTCGAGGCCGTGATGCCAAACGCCAGATTCTTTGTCACTGCAGCCATTGCCGAGATGGGCTAACCAGAAAGTCAGACTCTAATCGGAACATTTTGTTATGGACACTAACGATAGTAGGATCTGTCACAGGCCATTGTGCCGCGCGTCGAATACACTCGTCCAGTTTGCCCTCATAGGTATCATGACCTCCAGTTGTATCTGCCAGGAACAATGCGTTGATTCCACCACGCTCCAACAGCTTCGCCAACTCTATCCAGTATCCGAGCGTTCGCTTGGTCGCAGACTTATCTTTGGGGTTCTTTGCAGCTGTCAACATTCTGGCCCTTCAAATTCAATTCTTATACCACTAACCTTCCACTGTCCAGGGGACAGATGTCCCACGGTTGACATATCAAAAGCATTAAGCAAGATGTGTTTCTTGCCAGTGCCGGCAGGGCCATTCTGGCTAGTAGCTACACTGTCTCCCATGATTTGCAGTTTTCAAGATAAGATGCTTCCTTTCGACCCTTACTCACCCAAGTGTGAAAAAGATCTGGCTATAAGAAGTGACACAACCCCTTATGTCCCAAATCAACAACCCCGGAAGGACGGCTTTGCCCAAGTGTACTACCCCCGCACCATCCCACCTCGGAATTCGTCTATCGTATATGTATCTCGCGCCATCGACAATGCGAAAGAGGGGAACGGCAAACTTCCGAGCCCTGTCGGGTGAATTCTTAGAACTGCATATGGCGTGCCGTGGATCAAACATTCGTCATCATGCCCACAGTAATCACAGCATTATTTTGTGGATATATTTTAACCTCCGAACGCTAAGGCCGGCATGAGTTTATGACAATCTATCGGACCATTTTTCTAACCTGTTATGTTATAGGGATGGATTTCACCATCGGCTGTCAGATTGCGTGACAATTGCCTCTCTTCAAGAACAGATTTCGCAGATTATCACATACTACTCCGTATACTCCTTTGAATCGATCTCTATTACCTAAAATGCAGGATAGAACCATAGAAATGAAAGGATAATAACAATGAGGTTTAAATGTCTTATCACTTGGCAGTTGAGACAGCGGAGCATTTAGAAAAGCTCGGCAGTTCTCCTGCAAAAAGGTCCACTGATTGTATAGCCCTTACTGACTAGATCATATAATCCAGTTGCTTTGCCCAGGTGCCTTTCTCTCTTGTTGGGAGATTTGTCATTCACCATTGGGGGCAAATCGAAGCATAAGTATACATACCTAGGTAGATTTTACAAGCTGACAACGACACGAAAACCTTTTAGAATCTTAATTATTGTTTTATGTTAGAAGTAGAGAATGTACCAAATGGTATTATGTACATAATGCAAATATGCAACGCCATCTATAGCCCCCAATGTGTGATATACAAACATAATACAATCGAGACCTCACTCAGTCTCGCCGAGTCCAAGGCCATGAATATGATTAAGCCTCAATATGTGTGCATCTCACGAGGAGAACTCCTCGTTCTGATCCTCGCCTTCTAGCTTCCGAGGGTTACGAGCCTCCCACTGGAACTTTTTGATGCGTTCCCGGGCCGCCTCCTTCTGCTCAGCCGTCGGGTATACCTTCTTTCTCTTCCAAGCTACAATAACGTCCTTGTCAGAATACTTCTTCAGCATCTTCGAGTCGGCGTCAAGGGCCTTGCGCTCGGCCTTAGAAACATAAGCCTTATAATCAAGCTTGAGGGTATCGTCAACCACCAGACGAACCCGCGACATGATCTTCACAGCCGCGGGACCGGCGACAGAATCCGAAAGTGTGTTCTGGAGGGCACTCCAACGAGTCTTCGACTCGGGTTTGCCGTTCTCCATTGCCTCGTGCAGCTGGAGGATATATGGCCGTAAGGTGGCGATAGCAGCTAGTCGCAGCTTCGCTTGTAACTTCCTGCCCATCTCGTGCAGTTTAGTGGTTTTGGTTGATTGGGAGTCTTCTATATCAAGTCCTCTGAGGTGCAGAAGGACGGACGGGTTAGAGGAAAGAATCTGGATGGTTTCCAGATAGCCTTCCAGGACGCGAATGTCAGGTAGGATCAATGCTTTGTCCATCAAAGCGACCAGCTCGTTTGCGTGCTTGAGGACTGAGTGGTTGCGACGATCACGGCGGCAGACACTGAGAGCGACGTGGAATGCTGTTCCGGTTGCTTGGCCGGAGGGGACCATTTGCTCCCGCATGGTTTTGACACTGATTTTGCTAGAGCGAGAGATGCGGAGGAGGCGGAAATATTGGATGTAGGTGAAGGTATCAGGGTCAATGCGGTATTCATGGTCGTCCAAAGTCATATGTTTCCAGTAGGCCTGTCCACCCTCGGATCCCTGGGTCATGGTGAAACAAGCATTCAGGATAAGAGTCAGTTCCTTGCTGTTTGGTTCAAGGAATGATAGCTCCTCCGCCTGGGGAACGACAGGTTTGAAGAGTTCCGTAAAGTCTTCCTCTTCCTCCTCTTCCACTTCTTCCTCTTTCTCCATCTCCAATTCTTCCACTTCTTCTCTCAAGTCTTGCTCGAGTTCCACGGCCGGTTCCAGACTTTGAATTGGTCGATTGTTTTCGTCTACAAACGGAACATCTTCCAATTTTGATTGCCGCGTAGCCTCTGAGACTTCAAGCGCTTGAGTTTGCTCGGGGGTGATCCTGCGGCGGGTCGTCTTTTCGTCCTCGGTGGGTCGTTTTTGCAGTATGGGCACCCCCATGGTTTGCTTGTACAATTCCATGACATTGTAACAGTCAATATCACTACCGCCTTCCAAAAGCAAGCTGGCCATGCCGTTAACAAGTTCATTGTCAATTTTCAAGGTTTGGTTCTTCCAACGCCAGATAACATCGGCCCAAATCCGTTTGCCTTCGGTAATAACCTGGGCCTTCCGTTCGAGAATCTTTTCAATCTCATCAGGAGACATTTTCTCTATATCTCTGCGAGCTGCGAATTGGACAGCGTTCAAGATAATGGTGTATGTGGTAGCATCCGGGGCACCGGGTCCCTCTTCGGGTAATTCACCAGCAATTTTCCACAGACGGTCCATATCCCAATGACGATGGCAGACTGTAAGCATAGCGTTGGTGTGTATGATATCAAGCTTGACTCCAGAGTTCGGTGAACCAATCGAGCGGTATACAGAAGCGGCAGTTTTGGCGACACCCAATGACCTCGGGGCTGAGCTGAAGCCCTTCAACATGATCGTATACGTTCTGGGGGTTGGTCTCCTGCCACGCTTTTTCATCTGCGAGAGAAAATCTGTCAGCATACAAGCCCAAACCTCAATCTCGGGCAACGCCCTGTATGGCAGCACCGCAGAACGACAAAACTCACATCATTGTAGAACTTGAACGCAGCCTGCGGGTGGTTTTGATCCATGCAATATTGCAGGAGATGATTCCAAGCAACATCACATCTCAACCCCTGCTTTGTTCCAGCGCGAACCAAGGCCGCCGCCAGGGCCGGATTGCCACTGTGTAAAATGCGCGCGACCCGATCCGCCATTTTGCGAGGGTCATTCAACCATTTCAATTCCTCGTTTATGATCTTGGGTGTGAGTTTTGGCATTCCCCCAAGTGGACCACGAAAGCTGTTGTTCTCGGGAGCCTCGCCATCGGCGGAATCGGCCTCGATATCGGCCTCTACTTCTTGTTCTTTGGATTCCTGATCCTCAGGCACACCGTTCTCCTTGGCCTCGCTTTCACCATCCTGGTAATCATATGGATCATTCTCCAAGTCCTCGGTTTCAGCGACCTCGGGATCCAGAGCCTTACTTGCTGAAGATTCAAGCTGACTGTTGTACTTCCCGGTCAACGAACCCGACGCAATGGCCATCAAAATGTCATGACTCTCCCTAGTCTTGACATCCTGGCTCTCCCGCCTATTGTCATGTCGACTTTTAAAATGATTCTCGCCAACATGTTTTATACGGCGAGCATCGCGGTCTCTATCGGAGGATCGGTTGAAGGAGGAGGAGGAGGTATATTGGCGGTGGTTACTCGTCGCAATCAATGTCTGTGGTAGTCGTTGGGATGCAGTAGTAGCACGGTATTGCTGCGCGGTAAGAAGTCGGCTGCGCAAAGCTCTGTTCACGAGCGACCCCGGAAACCGGAATGTCATGACCGGATTACTGTGATCTCCAGGGGTTCAGCTTGTGTCCTGCACAATGCTATAAAGGAGACACGAATTCAACAAGGGCGAAGTGGCAAAATGGAAAAACAAGAAGAACAGATTGTTATTTCTTCATTGCATGTTGGAGACGGACCGCAAAACAATTTCGCAGATTGTCCGGACGCTAGTTCGTATCGGGTCTAGATTTTATGCCTGTATATTCAGGCAATAATTTCCTTTCGCCTGAGGCATAAAGCTGTCATTGATACCTCAGGTTCTTCGACATCCAACTAGACTATAAGTGGTTTAGTTCCCATTCCCTCCACCCATGTTCCCTGCGGGCCTGACGGGAGCGCTAGAGCACATTTCCCAGAGTCTTCTGTGCGTTTAAGTACTTTACTAGTGTACTAGTTTCTTAAGGGTATCTAGATCTGCGTTACACCTGTGGACTTAGCCCATGCACTGATCCGTGGATGAAAGTGTACACTTCCGACTTTAAATCAACTCTATATCGAAGTGGATATAAAGCTTCATATAAAAACTCTCTCACTTTCTCTATCTCATAGATTTTCTATTATTAGACCCATAATGTCTAGCCGAAGCCACAGGTTTCAGAGCCCATTGTACCGAAGTATGTTGTATTCCCATTAACTAGTTAACTAGTTATTCAATCCAAGTATACCTACATACACAAGATCCAAAAGTCCAAGACCTTCTATAACTTCATAGTAGATATATCTCATTTACCGTTTACCCGTATACCCATGCAGATCAATCCCTACATCTGCCTCGCTAGCGTCCTCCCTAGCCCAACCCAACCAGACTATACTCTCGTATCACATGCACAGCCTACCCAGAGTAGCACACGACACTAGTCCGAAGCTAAGAACACCCCAGTGGAGTACAAAGAGAAACAGACTAAGTAGTACTAAGCAATGCGACATCGTATGTGCGGGCAGCTAGACAGGAAGAGGAAGCAAGCTAGAAACAATTAGGAATAACTCTAAAAAGGAAAATTACCACCAGTCTACCCCCCACGAATGATATCGGTGGCTGATACTAACGTCCCCAACCACGCGGCGCTTTACGCTTTTACACTTTACTGTACTAGCTTCCCTGTCTTAGGTATGTGCGATGTACACCCCACATATAGTTGGTTACATAGTGCTTACGCTTTGTCTTATTCGGTCCTAGTCAGGTACTCACACTCGCATACATGTATGTACGTAACTACCATGTGCAGTAACTAGTTGCCGGTGCGTATGCACATCAAACGGCTTTCAGTGCATGGTATTGTGCTCGGTCCAAGGTAACTGCCGGTACTACTTAGTGCTGATTTTGGTTAGGCGTGGCTTAGCTGAAAATGGATACAAAGTTGATTCATTGCTAACTATAATACTGGTCGGTTTTGATTCTATCCGGCTCGGCTATCTGTGTCTTTTTTGATGACATGCTTAAGTCAGGCTAGCGCATAGTACAGTACCTTGATGCCTTTTTTCTTTTTCTTTTCTTTTGGGTCATGATTGCACTAGCTTGTATTTGGCAGATTCCACTTCTATAATTTCTTTCCTACATATCACTGAAAATGTGTCTTTCTTGCATACACAATTTTTGGGCATACAGTACACCATATCAATAAGATTGCCATAAACTCAATTGCAGGTAATGCACTAAATATTGAAAAAGACGAAGAAAAAAGAATAATACACATAATCAGATTGGAACATAAGCCCGTGGAGCATGGATGATGTACGTTATAGAAAAAGAAAAGAGAGGAGACAAGGGAACACACTTGCATTTAGCAAAGTTTAACACAAGATAAGAGGGAAACAAGAAACAAGTAAAACAAAAACAAAGAACCCCCAGGAGAACGATTTTGGGAGAATGCTGTCGATAATGAACAGATGCAAATAATCCGCCAACCCATCCTTGAAGCCACAACCCTAGCAAACAGGCAAACAAGGATAAGACATACACCACTTTCTGCATCAAATTTCAAGTAGGAAACAGAACAGAGAGAGGGTGCAAAAGGGCAGCACACCCTCTCAGCTCGATGCACTCTAACACAAAAAAGGATGACAGGTATAGAACAAAGCTGGAAAAGCCACTCTTAGACAGATTAGGAATAAAAGCCGCAGAGGTTGGTATCATAGCACGAAGGACTTGAGAGCGGAAGTGATGTGGTGTGTTGGAAGGAGATGGGAATCGGAATCGGAATCCAGGACGAGAACATTAGTCAAGGACAGGGGATATCGTGATAAGAAAGAAAAATCAAATGCATTTCCGTCCGTGTAGGTCCATAGCGGAAGAGGTGATTATGCGGGGGAGGGAAAAATTATTGCGGATAGTTGGATTGAGTCTCTGGAAGCCGTAGCGAATTTATAGATCAGCTGACAGGTCGGGCGAGGATGACTTTGTCGAAAGAGAGAGTCCAGTGGAGTCGATCCTGGTATGGAGGAAAAAGGCGGCGACATTACTCACGTTGCGGGTACACCGGTCCGCTCTGGTAGGGAGAGTGAGGGTAGTTGGGAGGGTAGGCCATCTGTGCATTGTTTTGATAGACCATTCCACCGCCAGGAGGACCACCGTACTGGCTGGGGACCTGGCTATCCGCGGGCTGGTATCCGATCGGAGGGAGTTGAGGGCGGACTCCACCGGCATAAGCAGGTGGCTGGCCGTGGGATGGGTCAGAGGGATTGGGAGGTTCGACCTGGTTGGCCTGAGCGGCCTGGGCGGCAGCACGCTCACGCTCCTCAATAGCCTTACGCTGAGCCTCTTCCTCCTTCTTGCGAGCCTTCCATTCCTTGCGGATTTCCTTGAATTCTAGAAGAGAGAAGTCAGCAGTGAACTTGGGTAGTAATGACCGGTTTCCAAAATAGGAATAGCATGGACTAGGTTTGGTGGCGAGGGGGACGGCGGAAAGGGATAAGAGGCAAGCTTAACCTCCACGCCGTCGGCCACGCTACTGCGGGCCCCACGACATCTAGTGTAACTCACTAGCGTCCGAGGGCCGGCGCTAACCCGATCCAGCCATTTGCGACAAAAGATATAACATCTCAGTCGCATTGGCCCCCAAACATCTAGAAACAAAGAAAATGAGATGCACCTACCCTCAGGAGTACGTTTTGCACCGTGCGATTGCATAGTCACGTGTGCATTCAAATGGTTTAGAGTACCATATGCTTTCTCACATCCGTTCCATCCACACTTATACATGCGCTCAATCTCCTCGTAACGACGACGGGGACGCTTATGCTGCTGTGCACCAGGAATCGGGACAAATGAGTAGACCTAGATGAAAGTAGACCCATGAATCAGCTTCGATCAAACCCAATAGATTCCCAATCGTATTCCAAAAGCAAGGAAGCGGTTGAGGGCCAGAGCACACTATTTTTTTTTTTTTTTGACGATCCCTGCGACGGCAATCTACGAACCACATGACCAACCCCCAGAGGCATCCAAGACAAAGCATTGATTGAACAAAGTGAGAAGCCTTCAGAAATAACCCCCAGGGAATCATCAAAAACATACCTTTGGAGTGCGTGACCCTGGCAATGCAGGAACAGGAGAGGTGGAACTAACCGTTGTGGCCGGGGAAGCATAAGGTCCCGGCAATCCATGATGCTGTTGTCCATAGCTGTGAGGCCAATCTGGGCGTGCGTACATGTGCTGAGGCGGAGGGGGGTGACCCGGGTACTGCGCCATCTCATGTCCCTGAGGTTGATAAGGAGAGTAGGGAGGAGGGTAAGTGGGGCTGTTGGCCGGAAGCGAAGGATCTATAGGAACGGGCGCGTCAGACTTTGAGTGCGGACTGCGCGGGCCCGTAGGCAAGGTGTTGATGAACGGACTTGTTGCTTGAGCCATACCTGCCGCACCACCGGGTTGGGAGTTGGGGGCGTAGGACTGGGGAGGACGGTGAAGATAGTCCTGGTAGGCAGGCGAGCGGGCGGTCGGCGGAGGGTTCAGACCGTAATCCGACTGAGGAGTGTTGGCCGACGAAATATTAGGTCGAACCTCCGGCTGCGGTGTGTACTGCGGCGTAGGGCGGACCTCAGGTTGCGGGGTGTAGTGAGCAGCAGCAGCAGAATTTTGGTCTGCAGGTTTTTGTTCAGAGGGTGCGTCGGTAACGGTGTTTGGGTGGTGCGAACCTGGCTGTGCGTACTCGGAAGCGGGCCGGTTGTCCATAAAAGAGAGGATTCGCGCGCAAGGATGCCGACGAATCTAGGAAGGAATAGTTTTCTGTGTTGGATCTGTGTCAAAGACGCGTCAACACAACAATGGGTAGGAGAAAGTCGGGGAAATTGATGAGTCGGTCCGACACGTTCCAAGCAAGGGGACGGAGGCACTAAGTTCCCACGTTGGGATCGTGGCTGACCTTCTCCAGATCTAGGATATATATCTTTTTTAACGTACCTTTTTTTTTCCGTTCAATTCCTAGGGAATTGATAATAATGTGAAGATAAGTCGCGAACACTGATCGAACAGGTTTGCGCACAGATGATTTCGAGATAAGAGATCTTGGGGGGAGAAAAAAGAGAAGAAGAATATAGGAGATTTTCAATTCACAACATTCAATATATTGTAAATTGGGAATTGAAAGCGCGTAGCTTCGAAAAGAGAAAAAAAAGAAAGAAAAAAAGAAAGAAAAAAAAAAAAAAGAATGGACTTGATACCAAGATGCTTAGATGCTTAATCTTTAGTTCGGACGAGGATGCCTTGCAGGTGGCGGTAAGCACGAGGCACCCGGAAAAATAGCCACGGGAGAATAACTAAAGAGACTAGTAAAAAAGAAAAAGTCAAGGAGTCAACGCGACTTTGGAGCAGCCTAAAAGGTAAGACGAGTTAAGACGATTAGGAGAAAGGAAAAGCAATCCTCGTGGGATCCGAGGATGTTGTGGATCCTCCAGGTGGACCACGTAATTTTGGTTGGCGATATCGTTGGTCATTCGAAAATTACATCTGCATTCCATTTTTTTTTTTTTCTTTTGAGGGGAGGTGGATTTTCTTTTTCTTTCTTTTTTTTTAACTTTTGTTTGGTTATTATATTTTATATATTCAATATACAATATATACAATATACAATATATTCAATAGAATCTTGGAACACCTGGGTAGTGTATGTATCCCTGTCTTTATACCGAGTACGAGTACAATGTACAATATAAATACAAACAATTCCGAGGAGAAACATTTAAACATTGGAATATATATGTGTATATCAAAAAGAGGGGGATAAAAGTGAAATTAATAAATCATTTACTTTCTCTGATCTCGGACCATTCCCTTTTTCCACACAATACTCCGACAGTTAACTGGTTTGGCCCCCTTTCCCCTCAGTGTCGTTACCGGCTAAGCTTTCCATGTCCGTATGATAACATTTTTTTTTTTTTTTTTTCAGTTTTCGGTTTTGAAAGAAAAGAAGAGAAAAAAAAGCGGAACCATCCAGGGGAGATGTGGCAACCCATGTCGAATGCTTCTATCATTAAATAAAATAATTATTGCTCATGGATGGGAATATCATAAAAATGATATATACAGATGTTGTTGTTTTTTGCTAAGTGACTACTGGGTTAGGTTCCCAACTGGAGGCCTCTTAGTCTACCCGCAACTCGGGTGCGTCGAAAGGGAGAACCTAGCGTATATGGCCCGTGGGTACCAACCAAAGATGTCAGAAGCCAGGACATTTTTTGACCAAAAGGTGGGCACTAGGAATGGCGTGCCCGAGGAACCTCAACCGACAGATGGAACCGATACTAAAAGGGGTATAGAGGGGGAGGGGGTAGGGAAGGGAACTAAGGTAGAAAAGGGAGTAGCGCAGGTCGGGGGAAGAAGAAAGCGATGGGACTCGGGAAGACCAGGGCTAGTGTGGACGGCCAAAGGGCATCAAAGGCAGGCAAAGGCAAGCAAAGGCAGGCACTCGGTCCCTATTACACCAATAGGAGAAAAGTGGTGGAGTCACTGGTGGATAATGGAGAAGCTCGGTGGACAGTCCTGACTTCTTTCGGTCTAGCGTTAAAGTCTGATGCAAAGGTTCAAAGCCGAGGCGGTTGAAGCCGGTGATAGCTTCTTTTCCTGAAAAGGAGGTTCAGTGTTGCACTTTGATTACAGGTATTCAGTACGGAGTACGGAGTATACATATGCATACTTCGGTGTAGAAAACTACCCCCTAGTACAGAGTACATTGTCCCATGTAACTCGTAGAACGTACATAAAGAGGCTTAAATTGGAATACTACTTACAACATATAGACAACGGCTATACGCCCTAACTACACCCTAATCACAGGCTAGTCATGTTAACGTTCTGCAATGAAACCGGTTGAGTCATGGCAAGAATACATATCTGGTCGCGTCACCCGTTACGATACCTACAGACGCGTGAGTGGAGACCGTGGAATAACAACAACAACCCCCCGGTGATCGGAGCCTATCTCCTGATATCTGGTGTCTGAGAAAAATTTATGTCTTCAAGATCATTAACGATTCAATTCTACAAAGTAGATGTAAGTTCTAATTCCTATTATTCCCTTTACGATCTCCAATCCTATATTCCCTACATAAGTAAAGTACCGTTTATCCAATTGATAACCGTTTCTATATGGTGATAATTATAGTACAAAAAGCACATACCACACCAATCTCTGTACCAAGAAAAGAAAAAGAGGAGAAAGGGGGCCATCATTTTCTTAGCATTTTCATGAGACGAGCCCATTATCACCGCCAATTGGTCAAACTCATCAAATTACGAGCGGAGTACTCGGCGGCTCTCCGGTACGATCAGTGTATGCTCAGTGCTCAATCCATAGTGGAGGACAGTATAATTCTTACAGTAATTACATCTCCTTGGCACCCCGTTATTCGTGATTCGTTATTCGCGTTAATATTCGTTAATATTCCTTAATATTCACATTTCAGCCTCCCAATTAGAGAAAGTGGGGGATCAAAAACCATTCCGTCCTCCGTTCCGTAGATATCTTTGTACAGTATGTACTCCGTACGGAGTACTCCGTACCCTCAACCCCCCACTCTGGATAAATAGGAGTCTGATAGGAAGAACACGGAAAAACCAGGGAGAAAATACTCAAGATGCAAGGCCCTGAGCTCGGAAAACCGACACTCGCTCTTCAATTGATGATTGGCGTTTTCAGGGGGGCCGGATCTCACCCCGCAGGCGCGGAACCTGTTCCTCCACTGCCGGTGAGGGAAAAGCAAGTGAATGATTTTGGATTTTGGATTTTGGATTTTTAATCGGTTTTACTTGTTTTAGATTGTTTTTCGTGACTCTATTTCTTCATAGGATCATTTATATCTGACACGCCCTAACGAGTCATGTACTAACTATGGAGTACAAATTATTGTCTTCCAAGGTACGGAGTACTCAAGTACGTACCTTGTTGTTAGGATAAATAATAATCCATTAACTTAACCAGTGGACAAATGGACCGACCAATGGAAGAATACAAATCAAATCGACACCGACAATCTCCAAACGATATAACAGTGGGACCAGACGGCGGACTCCGCGAGGACAACACACAGTTTCCAGTTGTCGAGGGCATAATGGGATGATCAATATCAAATTCATATGGCGCGTCAATCATTGGACGCCGCAGCCGCTCTGTACCCAGTCGCGCTGTTCTCCGTACACTCCGTATGTTGTATAATATATGCATACGGAGTACGGAGGTCAATAATACCTTGGCCTGTATTCCGCGACCCTTGACTATCCCCGATTTTTATGTCCTATTTGCATAACTATTTATCTATCAAGAGGGTTTCTTGCATTTCCTTTTCTTTTTCTTGGTTTTTTCTTTTTTTTTTTTTTTACTTTCCTGATTATATTCATATGATAATGTAATATAAAGCGCCTTCCGCGGCTATGGCTTATTGTTTGGATTTGGACAGTAGAAAGAGAAGAAATCCAAAAGGAAAGCATATTTCTCAGAATTAAATGGCTCAATCCCAAAAGCAGGACCTGCAGACGTTCATCCATGTCACTTTGATGCACGTGGGCCCATTTCTGCATGTTAGTTTATTGAATATTGAATATTGTATATTGAATATTGCATATTATCAATTTGCCTGATATAAGTCTTTGTACGGAGTACGGATACGGAGTAGGAACATACAACATAATAATATCCACTTCGTATATTTGTACTAAATGAAGTTAAAACGAGCTAGCAAATGGCAAATGGTCGGGTAAGAAAAGAGAGTGGAAAATGTTTCCACATGGAGTCTGGTCCAGTCTACGGAGTGCAATGTACTCCGTACAATAATAACTACGGGTATTCTCCGGTCATTTTCCTTAGCTCGAATCGTTCAGGGGGCGATCATTAGAGAAAAGGCTTGGCTTGGCTACATATTCTCTTTCCCCAGCACGCCAGAATTTGGTTTCCTTGTGCCTTATACACGGTGATCTCCCGAACCAGAGAGTTACTCTTTAACTAGATCCTTGATATTTCCATACATCCAAACATCTAAACGCAAAAAAAAAAAAAAAAAAAAGGTGAAAAAGGAAAGGGGCTCTCTCTTTGCCCTGAGGTTAAATGTACATGCAGTAACCGAAAGTCCACGAACTTGCCGAGTTCCTATCAGAGAAATTGTTGTCTGTGCTCTTAGGGGGGGGAAGTGCAATTTCCCTAAACTCCACAGTTGGCCTGTGCATGGCAAGTGGATAAGTTCCAAGGTTGGGAGACTACACCGAACGCAGTAAGTCTCACCCGCTAATGCTTCGGCAGATCGCGTTATATATATTTATATATATCTAGGCGGATCAGCACACCCCGGATGGTGATTCGTTATTCCATGGAATTGCTTCGTATCTTAGGTCTCTTTTCTCACATCCGTCTTTCTTTTTTTTTTTATGTTATTTTTACAGGGGTTGAGACCGAGATGGATAGCTGTGATGAAACCTCGGTTAAAGGACATACCCTTATATTGAAATCTTGAAATGGCAGGAGACCAGCATAATTCCTCCAATCAATGAGACAGAGTCCTGCAGGGATTCAGATCCCGAGACAGGGAGCTAAGCAAGTCCAAAATATAATGGCACTCTACTAATAATTTTACCTTTCGAGAAGAAAGTGACACATTGTTAACGAAGATCTTGCCTACGATCATATCTGCGATGACATGTGAAAATACCACTTTTATATTATTGCCACTATATAACTATGCATAATTTAATCTATTGTTTCCATTTCCAGTACTACAACTCAAAGCCCAGCGGTCATAGGATATGCTCAGTAATCCATCAAAATCAGAATCCCTAATACCAACCCGAGTACTCCGTAGACCGAGCAGAGTTATATTTTCCATGCATGTTCTACGTTTGCTCTAGACAACAAAAAAGGGAAAGTTAAACACAAGTATATTTGCTTTTTAATATTTTTTAATCATTTATTTTCTTGGGGGCGTACTATCGCCTGATACAGCAAACGTCTGACTAGTGTGTCCTGCTGCTGTCGGATCGGCCCCCTGTTGGCCACAGAAAGTCTGGGCACTGCGGCTGGTGAATTTTCTATGGTTCGGCTTGGATTGACCGGAGAGAGTTCTACCTACCCCCTTGTTCTCCGACGTGCATCGTCGGATGAAAACTCTTTCTGGAGATTGTTATAGCGCCTTGACGTGGGAGGTGCGGTGCTTATGCATGCTGCTCATGCATAATACAGACATTGAGTACACCATTTAACGCTAGCCTGTTGTCCGCACTACTGCACGTCGCTCTCTTAGGCGTCTCTTGAACCATATACTGTACTTTCAGGTGTATTTTTCGTGCCGAGGGCTATTTCAAGACTCGGTGGATGTTGTATGCATGCATGCGCGGGATGTAGGTATATGCTTACCGGATTGTGTATCCCGTACAGTGTCTGGAGTCAACGCATTGATATGTATGCAGGTCTCTTTTTGGTGTGTTTCTTGTGGGAATATCATTTTTGGGCGTTGTGATGGGAAATCGGTACCTCAGCCTAATCGGAAAACTATTCTGACATCGCTGTGCACGTGGCTCTGTATTTGTATGTGTTGCATCCTCGTAATAATCTAGAAAGATCTGTGACTAGCATGACAATATATTGCAGTAAATCCAAACAGAATTCATTGCATTTCCAATGTCGGAGACGCATGGCCAGAATTTATATAACTGTACTCCATATACAAACCCAGACCCAAAAAAATCAATGGCGGGCCCCCACTGATCTCCGTATAGCTTTACTTTAGACATTTATAGAGCTTGTCATGTCATGAGACGCTAAAAGGAACCCACAACATAGCCTCGCTGTGGGCCGTTTTAAGCATAAAGCTTGAATGTTGAGATATGCAGCGAAATCTCGGCGGGTTTGAAATCGACCCCTACTAGTAGTATAATAGTATATGTAAGTAATGCTTCCTAGTGTAGATTGATCACAGATTCATCACACACTTGTGTCGAATGAGGTAAGGTCTATAGGGCTGAGGTATCCAGTTGCCAGGGCTGTCGCCCCACCCCAGTAAGTACGGAGTACTTATATCTGCCTCCTCCGTCATCTTCACTTGTTTTATCTTTTCTTAGAGTTCATTCGCCGCTGACATGCAATAGAAAACACCTGGTCCTTTACATGTGGGATCTGTGATTATCATAACTATTGACTTTTATAAGTCCGCACGTACTGGTGCCTGGCGAGAAGGCAAATATCTCAGGTGCTAAGCCAACTCGATACGCTGGCCAGGTTGCGGATTTTCATATATCAGAGAATACTCCATCTGATAGTCTGATATGGCTTTCTATGGGTTTTCTTGTTATATGTTGAATTATGGCCAAACTGTGGGAATATATTTGATGTCTTTCTATGAGCACCACGAGTTCAGGATTCCATCTTCTTTCCTTTATCCACAATTGACCGCGAAGTAAAGTATTAATCCAAAGAGCGTCGAGTAAAATAACTGATGGAAAATTATATTCCGTCAACTCTGTAGAATTTCCCCGGACATCGACCATTTGCGGGGTCAAACGAACTAGATCGTCTACTCGAAGATCTATATATTCCGTACCATGTAGAAACTAGGCCATTCCACCTTCTTTTATGCTAGGCCTACTAATCCAACTGCCATAATGATTCTTCTGACGACATGCATCCTAGCCATCACCTCTTGCAATACTTTCGCCAGGGCAGGCCCTGTATCAAAACAGGCCAAATTCGACTGGTCATCGACCAAGTCTCTGTAAGTGTATTGAGACTACAAGAATATAAACAGCACTAACCCCATACCAAAGAATCGCCTTCGGTGACTCCTACACGTATGTCCAGGGAACCCTCGGACATCAGAATTATAGTTTCATTGGAGACCAATTCAACCTCGCCTATGATGCCGAAAGCCTACTTTCCAACAAGATAGTCCAAAATCAAGTAAGCTTGCATCCTGACGCGATCGAACCAAACAGATCATCATTTAGATATTAAATCTCTACTTTAGACCGCAACAGCAGAAGGCGGCCCCAACTGGGTTGAGTATCTCACAGATTGCGGCGTCCACCCTGGCCTCACCTCACCCCAAAACTGCAAAAAGCAACTCTGGGATTTTGCATTTGGAGGTGCGGATATCTCAACCGAGTAGTAAGCACAGCACCACAGTCCACGATCTACCTGAATTCACTTCATCAGCATTCACGAACAAGTCCAACTAACCAAACCCAAGCACACCCCTCCACCACAACTTTACAGTCTCGCTAGTAGACCAAATAAACCAATTCAAACAATACGGCCACCCAGCCCTCCTATATAACCTTCCAGGTTTCAAGCAAGACAAAACCCTCGTCGCCCTGTGGATTGGCATCAACGACATCAACGACAGCGCAAAATACGCTGTCGATTTCCCAACCTTCTACGAAAACCTCACATACACACTCTTCAAATCTGTGGAAACCCTCTACAACTTGGGCTACAGAAACTATCTGTTCATGAACCTACCGCCGCTAGACCGTACGCCAGGGAACCAAGCAAAGAGTGAGCCGAGTCCGAACGCCACGCAGGTCGGGTGGTACAATTCCGCGCTGGCTGATCATGCGGCTACATTTGCAGGAAAGCATAAGGAGGCACGGGTTATGCTTTTTGATGCGCATGCGAGGTTGGCGGATATGCTTGATGAGCCCTGGAAGTATGGCATTGTGAATACGACGGACTTCTGTGCTGGATATGATCAGCCGGATATTGCGGTTGAGTATGAGAAGTATGGGTGTCCGACGCCGTTGGAGAGGTATTTCTGGTTTAATTCGGGTCATATGACTAGCCATGTCCATGAGGTTTTGGCTGGGGAGGTGGAAAGGTGGTTGCACAGATAGTGAGGGTTGCGGATAACTAGGCAATAGCTAACTAACTAGTTAACTAGGCACATTCTCTGACTTACCTAGCTACATACATCATTACATTGGAGTTAGTTGGTTAGAAAAAGCACAAATATTTGAAACATAATCATTATTGGGATCAGAGGTGGGCGAAGTCTCTGAGGCATGAAACTTTTTGAAACTAATGAACATGTATGGATTCACCGTGAGAATTCAAGCCCTAAAATCCCACTAAAACCGATGAATCGAGAGTTTGAGAACCATAAAAAACCCCTGTAGAATAGGGACGCAACAAAAAAAAAAATAAGAACTATCTATGACAACAAAGATAACGCCGTCCTGCCCGAGTTACGCATGAAGTCGAAGAAATAGAAAATAGTCTACCGGGATAGTGCACAATACAAGGGAAAGTGACTGACTGCACAGGGAGCAGCAGGGAAGCATCTACCAACGACGGTTGCCGCCGACGGGAGCAGCGTTGGAGGCAGTGAAACCACCACCGCCGCCACGACCACCACCCCAGCCACCGCGGCCACCACCGCGGCCACGGCCACCCCAGCGACCACCACCGCCACCACCACCGTAGCGAACCATCTCGGCAAGACGGGGGTCAACCTGCTGCTTAGCTTCAGTGAGGATAGTAATCAAGTCACGAGCCTGCTTAGAGTCTGGAGAAAGGAAGGTTAGTATAACTTGCTAATGCCCAAGACACAGGTAGTAAACTTACTGTCAGCGGTGAAGAAGGTAATGGCGGTACCCTTGGCACCGGCACGAGCGGTACGACCAATACGGTGGACGTAGTCCTCCGAGTTGTTGGGGTAATCATAGTTGAGCACATGAGTGATGTCGCGCACATCTTCAGAGGAATTTAGTTAGCAAATACAATATTAGTGGGGGTATGGGGAGTATGGCCATGAAGGACCCTTTCTCCGTCGTGCAGGACTTGATGCATCACTGCTCTCTTGATGGGTTTCATTGAAGAATATCCCAAGGGAAGCGAATCCATGGGATGGCGGTAGTATCGTGGTCCTAGAGAAACCTTGGAAATGCAGCCTTCAACAGTTCAACAGTTCAAGAACAACGCTGTGTGAGAAAAAAACTTCGACTCGTCTACGAGTCTGTCACACAAGAGATGGAGAATGGAGAATCAATGCCAAGCTAGAATGCCTGCTGCTGTGCTGCACTGTGAGTCCAAGGTCCTCTTGGCATGTGAACCATTTAGGATGACCAGATGCGCCTGGACGCGGCGTATACACCGACGTGCTTCGAGAGAGTTTGAGCACCGTGCCATTGTTTTAACACAACGTCAACACAGGTGAGTGTTTTCCAAGGGCCCCCCTAAGGGGGAACAAAAAGGGGAAAATGGAAGGAGGGGGATGTAGTTTGTTCATACCAATACCACGCGAGGCCACATCGGTGGCCACCATGATGGGGCTCTTGCCCTGCTTGAACTCGTTCAAGACCCAGTCACGCTCGTTCTGTTGCTTGTCACCGTGGATGGCTGGAAGATATGTTAGTACGGTGCGAATGTGCCAGTGAGGAACTTATTGAAAACCTACAAAGCGCGGGCCAGCCGTCCTGGCGGAGGAATCGGGTAATCTCATCTGCGATACGCTTGGTACCAGTGAAAATGATGCACTTGTTGGAGCGGTCCTCCATGATCTTCTCAAGGTGCTTGATCATCTTGTCACGCTTCTCACTGTCGGAGATGACCTCGACAATTTGTGTGATGCGGTGGTTAGCGGAGAGATCGGTGGAGCCGACGTTGACTTGAATGTAGTCAGTGAGGAAATCAGAAGCGAGCTGACGGACATCCTTGGGCCACGTAGCGGACCACATGCAAGTCTGACGATCAGGGCGAATCTGGCCGATAATCTTGCGAATTTGGGGCTCGAAACCCATGTCAAGCATACGATCAGCCTCGTCAAGAACGAGGTAAGTGACACGACGAAGGTTGGTGCGGCCAGCCTCGAGCATATCAATCAAACGACCGGGAGTGGCAATGCAAACCTCAACACCGCGAGAAAGGTCGCGGATCTGAGGACCCTTGGGGACACCACCGTAGACACAGGTGTTGCGAATACGGGAGGACTTTCCGAACTTGGTAATCTCGGCCTGAATCTGAACAGCCAACTCACGAGTAGGAGCCAGAACAAGAACAATGGGGCCATCACCAGGGGCGAGGAGAGGCTGGGCGTTGATGTGAACAATAGCGGGGAGACAGTAACTGAGAGTCTTGCCAGAACCAGTCTCGGCAATACCGACGACGTCGCGTCCGGAAAGAGCCATGGGCCAGCCCTGGGACTGGATAGCAGTAGGAGCATCAAAGCCCTGGGCCTTGACCTCAGACAAAACGTACGCGGGGAAACCAGCCTCGTCAAAGGTTTCAACGGGACGGGGCACCTCGGTACCCTGAATGGCCATCTCCTTGGACTTGCGGAAGGCCTGAACATCTTCCTCAGAGCGCGCAGTGACATCAGGGTGCTCCTTGTAGAACGACTTCTCGAACTTGGGCATGGTGTTGATATCTAGGTGAAACCAAAGTTAGTATTGTTTGAACCATACAAAAACGTTTCGTTTGCGGTTGAATGAGCTTACCCCAGTCTTGAGACTTCAGGCCAGCGCCGAGGTTGTTCATGCGGTCACCACCGGCAGCACCACCGCCGCCGTAACCACCGCCACCGTAACCACCTCCACCTCCACCGCCGTAGCCGCCGCCGCCGTAACCACCACCACGGCCACCACCGTAACCACCGCCGCCGCCGTAACCACCACCGCCGCCACCGTTAGAGTAGCCGCCTTCACCTCCGCGAGAGCTAGAATATGCAAGTTAGTACGAATTTTTCTTCTTGTAATGTACGGTGTCTCCTGTCCGCTTGGTATTGGTTGGGGAAAACCAAGATAGACTCGGGATCCCTTTGTCCAACACGATCGCAAACAAGTGCAGGCTCGAGGCTTTCGCCAGAAATCCATACATTTGATGAGACAAACGAAGGAGACGATAACAAGTGTGTGTGAGAATGAACTTACCGGTAGGAGTCGCCGCCGCCGCCACCGCGAGAGTAGCCACCTCCGTAAGACATGATTTTAAGTCTGCGAAAGGTTTTTGAGAAAGAAAGAGGGGGTATTAGAAGATGAGAAGAGGGATGATGAAGAGAGGAAGAAAGAAGGACGAGTATACAGGTAAAAGTAGGAAAAGGTCAAGAACTTGAAAGAAAAGGAAGGAGGAAAAAAAATAAAAAAACCCAGGGGAGGAAGGCGCGAGTAAAAATTCGATTAGGCTTAGCTCCTCTTTGTATTTTTCGCCGTATCATCACATGACCGAGGCCTGGATCAGGTACCTTTTCAACCGCCTGCCTAAACAGGTTTAGTGAACACTTGCCGCTTTCATCTGTTTTGTCTATTTGATCTTTGATTGGTCACTGTTTATCAACTTCGGGCAGAAAATTTAGGGAAATTTTTAGATTTGCGCCAGGCATTGCTGGTCCATGGATATAAAGGGGGCAAATAAGGCCGGCTTTTCAGTACGAGTGGCGATAAATCTAGAATGACGGCAAAGTTGATAGGTTTTCGAGTCTCTTGAATCGAGAAGAGGCAAATATGTAGATATGGGGGAATTCAACGACTTTTAACGTTGAATGTTTTTCATGTACAACATATACCCGCAAGCTGCAACGTTGATCCAGAATCAGGCAATCACAGCAACCTTTCAATTCTAAGATCAAAAGGAGGAAGATTTAATAGGCGTAGAAGACAGCAGAGACTATGATCTTAAGAACCTATTGCCCCGTGCCTCCAAGGCCCATATCCCAGAAACGAATCTCCAATTCCGTAGCCCGAACAAAGATCTTAATCAGTTCTTCCATGCGACTAGGTGATACATGTTGCATGTGATCCTCCAGCAATGCTATGACATGACATGAATCAGTCAGATGTTCCGCTCGTTCTTCACAATCTGACTTACCTGAACCCAGTCGTACGGCCTCCGTGTAGTCGTCCGCAACATAATTCTCGATCCATTTCCAGTAGGTGTTCCCTTCTCGAAGAGTGTTTTCTCCCGCATGCAACCGTTTTGCAATGGCGCCATATCCGATCAAGCACGGCGTGAGGGCCATTTGGAGGGCTAACCAGTCCTCAGATTGGCCTACATCCAAAATGTATCGGCTGTATGCGGTGCATGCTATACATATCGAGATTAGCACATCTATCGAGTTCATCGAGAAGTAGGACCGGCTTACCGATAGTTTCGGGTGTATTTTCCATTTCCTGCTTAGAAAGGCCAAAAGAGGCACAGTAGTCGATGTGCAATGCCATTTCCCGCTGTATGTGGAGGACAATCCGGGCCGACTGGAGTGATTGCGTTAGATTGATATTGAAAACAGGGTTCGTAAGCACTTACCGCTGCTATTGAATCTATGCTCTTGGCCTTGTATGATGCAAGTGCATTGCTTCGGGCAAATTGTACCTGCAGATTGGATTTTGATAAGTTGAATGTCTTCTATCAACCGCATAGGAGAAGTCTGTCTCACCAGGTAGAGATAATCTTGCACAAGATACGCCTTGAACTGCCCAATAGGTAGCGTACCCTGGCCTATGCCTTCGACAAACTCATGGTGAGTGAACTGCCGCCATACTTGCTGCACATCCTGGCGGTCCAATATGTACTCAAGGAATCGGCCGCTAAATAGCATACCGTTAGGACAAAAAAAACCAAAAGATCCAGGGGATGGGTCACATACGGCGCAAAGGGCATAGTGTAGGTGGAGTGGAAATGATTGATCGGCCCACTCCCTTTACCTAGGTCAATGCTTGTCTTGATCCCTACCTCAACAAATCGCACGGCACTCCGGACCGCTCTAATCGTGTCCTTGCCAGAAGCCAGGTTTGCGGCAATTGCTGAAGCAAGTGAGCAGCCCGTACCGTGGGTATTCTTGGATACTAAAAACTCTGTCTCGAACAAGGTGGTTGTCGTCCCATCGAAGAGTATATCCACGACCAAGGCTCCTTCTTTCTCTTGGGATGTCTCGTGGTCTTTTGTCAAAGGAAGGTGACCTCCCTTGAGGAGAACCGCCTTAGGACCCAAGGAGCAAATCTTCTTAGCAAGCTCAACCATTCCCTCTAGGTCCTTCGGTTCAGAAGTCTCTGCTCCAGCATCTTTCAATAATAGAAGAGCCTCGGGAATATTTGGTGTTAGAATTGTAGTTAAAGGAAGTAACTTTGTCCGTAGTTCCTTGACTGCTTTTTCAGGTAGCAACTGGGAGCCACTAGTGGAAACCATAACCTGTTGATGCTGATTAGAGTGACGATTTGGAGAACAACAAGTCGGACATACCGGATCCAGAACGATTACAGGGACTTTATGGGCTTGCAGCGTTTCTGCGATGACATCAATGGTCTCAGCAGATGAGAGCATGCCTAGGAGGTCATTAGTTATGTATTAAAAAGGACGAACCATGAAATACAAAATGGCTTACCCAGTTTCACTACATCTGCACCCACATCTTCCAGTCCGGCATTGATTTGTTTTCTCACAAATTCCGAGGGCACAACAAAGATGTCTTGCACACCTAGTGTGTTTTGTGCCGTCAACCCAGTGGTGGCAGTGAGAGCATAGCATCCATGGGCTGCAAGGACCCTTTGATCAGCTTCGAGACCACTGGAATGTGTTAGAGCGTTTTTCTAATCATCATATAGCGTACATTATACGGGTAGAAGGTCGAGTACTTGATGGGGTACAACTTTTTCCCCCAGCCGGTTTTGCGGGGTGGGATGTTTGAACTTACGCTCCCCCTGAGCTGTCTGATCCTGCAATGACCAGAACTCTTTTGACAGGCATGATTGATAGAGCCAATTAGCAAAATAAGCAGGGATACCTGCTCTGCACTAGCGATCAAGCTGAAGTGAAGAATGCCGGAGTGGGTGGAGTGGCCGGAGAATTGGGGGGGGGGTTGCGATAAGATAAGACCGATATGAAAACATTCGACGTCAACTCGATATCTGGAGAGACACTTGAAGGCCCTAAAATATGCAATTCGATTTGATCATGACCATGCTAACATTCCAACACCCCAATATCCTTAGGTATTTACAAATATCCAAAACCATACGCCACCGGAACATCTATTGTAACATGAAGCGGAAGAGACCATCCATCTCAACCCATTGACGACCACACTTCTTCAGGTAGCTGTCCACCACACCCTTGATCGTACCGAATCTTGTGCGGTTGAACTCTGCGAGGGCGGCAACACTGTCCTTCTTTTCTCCCGTCTCTTTCTCAGCAGCGGCCTTAGCTTTCTCGACATCCCAGAGACCGGCGAAGTACAGAAGCTGGTTATATACCTCCTTCTCCGAGTACTCGTAAGACATGCGGCCTAAACAACCTTCTGCACGACCTCGGGGACCCAAGCAGCGGTGTCCATAAACGCTGATTTGCCGTGTGCGGTTGCCACATGATGAATCGTCACATACCAACCAGCCTTCATAGTATCGCGAGGTCTGTTCGCGGATCTGGTTCTCTAATTGGGCAACAATTGTCATGACTGAGAAGGGTTTCTGGCAGCTCTGGTTCGGGCAAACGATTCCATGGGCAGTGCACATGTGCGATGAAGTCACCAGACCCTCATACACAGACTGTTCCTTGCAGTATCGGCATCTTAGGGATAGTCGCGTAGAATTGGCAAACCGAACCGAGTCTGGGATCTGGGACTCAAGGGGGGTGACTTCGGCATTTTGCTGACTGTTGGAGCTAGAGGCATTGATCTGATATTTGCGAGTATCAAGACCCAAGCACTCAGCGAGACGGACGGCATCGGTGCCGGGAATTGGGGCACAGAGACGCTCAATGGGAGGGAAGATCTGCTTGAGAATGTAGAACTCAACATCTGGCTTCAGTCCTAAATCGGGCTTCAGCACATCCTGCGGGGTGTAGGATCGTTTCGCAGGAGGCAGAGATGACGTTTCTGAGTCTCCGTTGGTCACGATATATGAGATGACGTCGTTCGGTCTAATTGTCTTGCCCCGGGCAATTTCGCGGAGAGCGACTTGTGCAGGTGGCATGCTCTCTTTATTAGGGTACTCCTGGGGGCGTTTTGAAAGTTTCTGATGAAGTGTTAGTAAGGCGATCTAGGCAATCCTCGGGTCTATTACATACAGTGTAGATCACGTATTTTTGCACGGGAATCGTGTATTCCTTCATCCTTTCTGCAAGCTCACGCAAGTACTCGTGAATCTTGTTGAGCACGACTTCCTGGTCTTCACCCGACAGAATTTCGTTGAGCAGCTTCGATGATACCTCCTTTGAGAGGGCACAGTATTCACGACGCTTCATGTCAAGACCCTTGACCTCCAGCTTCTCCACGTACTTGCCATCCACCTCGGTAAGGTTGACAGCAGCATACTTCTTTTTGGCATGGAGTAGAAGTCGACGGAAGATATTGTCGATGTCGATTTCTAGAAGTCGGTAACGTTCGTTGACCGATTTCTTGAACTCTTCGCCAACCTTGATGGCGTCGCTCATGTTGTCCATATTCGTGTTGATCATAACCGAATCAGTGTCACCATAAATGACTCGCAATTGCTGGCTTTCGGCCAATTCCTTGGTGTTTCTCAAAATCTCACGTCCCTTGAAGGTGGTGAGCATTGCCAGAGGTCGAGCGTAGAAGCGACTCTGCGTGTATCCTAAGCATCCGTACATGGAATTGGCAGTGAGCTTCAAGGCCAATTGTTTTGTGTCCCAGATGGCCAGTTGTTCGGGTGTGGCACGCTTGTCTTTCATCAACTTCTTTACTTCGCGTCGACGGTTAACCAGCGTCGCGATCAGCCGAGGTAGAACACCTTGTTCTTGGTCAGAGGAGGGAACATCTGGCACTTTTTCTTCATTCTCATTTTCGGCCTGGTTGCACATGTTAGTTAAAATGAACGAGATGAGACGAAGGTTTAGATTGTCAACTTACCGTAGCTGCTCGGTCCACTGTTGTGAAGCAGATGTTGTATTCCTGGATGATGCTGGGATACAGACTGTTGAAGTCCATAACAAGGATGAAGCGGTCGTAAAGACCCTTTTCGGGCTCGAAGACAAGACCACCCTTGAATTTGTCCTTCTTTTTCTTGTCGGCCGCCTCGTCATCGTCGCCATCTTGCATTTTCTCCTCTGCCTTCTGAAGACGAGACGAGTACTTGTCTGGACAGATGTATTTGTTGCGATGGAACTCGTGTAGCAGAATATACTCGTTTCGCTCGGCACGCGTTCCGCTAAGTGTGCGTGCCCATGAATTACCAGCGGTATTGGTCAGGACCTTAGTAAGTGGCAGCATCTGAAGACGTAGAACCAATGCCGCAATGAAGTATGTATCTGTATCACAATGATTGACGAAGTTCATGAGGCCTTCTTTGGTGGTCGCCCAGGTCTTTAACGCCGCTTCGGCATCTAGTTCCTGGCGTACGCTGCCCTGGCCGAGGTAAAGTTGGCACATCTCGGTCAAACTCCACGACTGGCACTTCATCATAAGAGACTAGTAGTTGTTAGTATTGTCGTATACCCACTTCCGGAAGAACATTACCTTGCCCATGTCGTTGGCAATATCGCACATCAATCTTCCAGCAATCAACTGCCTTTCGGCAAAGAAGTTGCCACCCTTGTTAAAATTCTTAGGCCAATCCCCACGCCTGAGTCGGCCAATACGATGCCAACCAGGGGTCTTCTTTTCACGCATTCGGCTGAGTAGAATGCCCAGGTCGACATCCTGCAACTGGTGGCCCATGATCACATCGGGGTCCATCTTCTCGAATATAGCCAGGAACTTGCTAAGCAAGAACTGTTCGCTTTTTGCGAGCATGATAGTTCCCCGCTGGTTTTGTGCTTCGGCTTCGAAATGCATTGGGTATGACCCACCAGCAGGGCGCATGACGGTGAATGTCTTGCATGGAAGCTTCTCCGGCGGAGTGGTATCAGTTAGAGAAACGTCTTCATATACTCGGGCACTCGCTATTAGAATCTCCTGCTTGTTCTCCTTGACATTGAGTTGGGTACGGAAAGAAAGACTCATTAAGGTCAGGGGCGGGGCATCCAGGTTCTCAGAATCCGGGACAAGGTTGATGAGTGCTGGTTTGGCAGCCTGGCATTCGAACTTGCACCAGGATGCGTTGGTTACTGCAGCAAAGTCGCCCTGGTCGATCTTGAGCCAGCAAGGGCCCATGATATTTTTCCAGAGAACAAATTGTTCAAACAGGGAGGTGTTGGTACCGAAAATGTTCGAGAAAGTCTCTCCCTTAGTTTCCATGGGAAGGGCAGCCTTATCGTAGGGGTAGAGTAATTTGAGATACTCTGCCTCCTTTGGAACCCCAGGCATTTCAAATGCGTACTTCCGTTCGCACGGTTTCATCTTGTGCATGCCAACCTTGAGTTTTGTCATCATCTCGTCGACCTCCGAGTAAACATCTTGCATATCAACCTCCTCTTCAGTCGCTCGTCCGTGCTTGTATCGATATTCACGCGGAAGGAAGTAAAGCTTTCGCAAGATATTGTCAACCTTAACGAATGCACTAGTGTACGACCCATTCTGCTTGTTTTTCACTTTTCCGAAGAGACACAGGCTGCCGTTAACCTCCGTATAGTCCAACCAGAACATGCGCAGACTGCCGTCCTCTTCCACAACATCTTGGGCGTGCAGTTTCCCAAAGGATCGCATTTCCGGGGCTGGGCTGCTGAGAACGTTCAATTTGCTCCTCAGGTCATTCCAAGAAGCATCCATTACTTCTGGCATTGATTTGACAGGGGAAGAGCTTGCTGGCGCAGAAGCAATGTCAGGCTTGATCTTCGGGGGCGGCCGACTGCCGGTCATGTTGATGGTTTTCGATTTAAGACTAGAATCTCCAGTGACTTCCGCGACGTCCATGAGGTCAACATCATCGTCTTCTGGCTCTTCAGCCTTGACCGGTACAATATTCCTTCGCTCCACTGCCTTGATAATTGGAGACGATGGTAAGATATCACTCATGGGAACATCATCGTCGTCTGGCATCGGTAGAGGGCCGTCATCGAGATCATCAGAGTGGAGTGCCTGATCCTTCATTGGCGAGCTTGGCATGTCATTTTCGTCTCTTGCCTGAAGCCTTTCGCGGCGACGCTTCTCAGACAAAGGTGGAGAGAGAACGCGAACTTTGCGTCGGGCCTCCGACTTGACAATGTTTCGTGTCGGTGCGTGATTCGATGCGACATTGGTGTCGACCTCTCCGAGGAGATCGGCCATAAATGCATCGTCCTCGGCGGTCGCAACGGGCTTGTAAAACAGATTGTCAAAATTAGGGATTTTATTTCCATGAGCAAAAAGCACTTACCTTGGGCTTGGGAGCAGAAGCCGAAGTTTGTCCTTTGTTGAAGTACTTGGATATGCCATTGTTCATTTTCTCCTTCCGCTGTTGTTCCTCTTCTCTTTTTCTTTTGGCAGCCTTGCCTCGTGTGGGTAGTTCATCGCTTCCATCGCTGTCATATTCTGCTGTCTGTTCGTTCCATACTTCGCGGCCATCGTCCGCGTAACCAGCACCGTTATCATCGACGACGAAATCATCCTGATCAAGACGGTTCCGGATAACCTTTTTGTAACCGTCATCATCAACCTCGTCGTAGATGTCGCCCTGGTCCTCGATCTCGTATGTGGAAATTCGCTTCTTTCCTGAGGCACGGAGGGCCCTCAGCTCGGCCAATCTTTCGCGAGCCGTAGGCATTATGGTCTACTCAGAGACAATTACCCATTAAAAATAGAGTTGGGGTACGTAAAGAAGAGTAGATCGTACTGACGATTGTTGCGGGGAAAGGGAGGATAAAAGAAGAGTCACGCAATTCATCCAGCCACGCGAACAGCACGCGTCCTGTCGCGTTTGCCCTGGTGAGATTATGTCAGCGCCGTAAGTGTTTCTGCCTCAGGCGACCAGAATTATCGATCCACCCAAAGTCACATGATTTATAACACTAGATCAATGACCTTCCAAGGTTCCAAGGTTGCTTAGTTAACTATCAGTGATTACTACGGTTTTGGAATTTAAAGCCCATAGCCCAACCCGGACCAACCCGCAAATGGGCTGGTCTTTGGGCCAGTCCTTAGGCCCATCGATAGGCCTTGGGCCTAGGATAAACGCCCACTGGGCTTTTATGGGGGCCCAATGGGCCTCAAACAATACAAAAATGCCAATTCTTGGCAGATTCATAAGTAATGCAGATTCTTCTAGTATTTTTGAGTATTTAAATTACCGTCTAAGACCCAAGTTGACCGAGTCTTTGTGGGAATTAAGCCAATCAATAGATGCACCTACTTCTGTCTATATGAAATATATATATCTGCACATTGATAATCTATCACCTATTGAACCCCCGTATTAGGTTAGACTAGGGCCAGCGGGCCGAGATCTTCCAAGTAAGCTTATAGACCAGAACATGCGTAAAAAACAGGCATTATTCAGCAGGTTTATGAGCGCCAAGACTGGATTTATGTATAGAAATGGTCTTTGTTGGGGGCCTCACAGGCCCCCACTAATGGGCTATAGGCTTAGTTGGTCTTTGAAGGTAGGGCCCATAGCCCACTGCTGGTTGGTTTATGGGTCTAAAGTCCTGGCCCAACTCGGCCCATTGCGGAGGTCTACCAAGTTGGAAGGTTACCTAGCTAGGTACTGTCTACAATAACGTTTGATGAGTTATTTATTTTCATTCTTAACTATAGATCAAAAGGGTAAACTTACCTAGGTAGTCTGTTATAGTTAATAATCAGTTTATCCAATATATTTACGAGGGTAAAGTGACATACGATAATGTGACATCTATCAGCGTATACTAGGTCTTAGCTGTTAACCTGGCACAATTTATTACCTAGGTAGTATATAATACCTTAATAATGAATTAAAACTGACTTCTTTCCTTTAGGTAAACTCAAGGTTATTAAGGTTCACGGCTATATAACGGTTTCGAGGCTTTGATATGGTACATGCTAGTACACTTAGAAGGTTGCAAGTAATGGGTCTTCAATGGATTTTGATGGGCTACCAGCTCGAGGATACTCAGAAGAAAACCTTAACTAGGGATACCCGGGATTTCATTTATATAATCCGGTGATTTCGAGTAACTCGGCCAAAAGATCATAGGGACAATCGGAACCTCCGATTGTCACTGCAGCGATATATATTCTAAGCCCTAGACTCTGCATATCTGTGCCGAGGTTGGTATTATGAGTAATCAACCTCGTCGTACTTAAGTAGGTTTGAACATCCTCGATAACTAACTAACTAGTTAAAAACCGTCAACAATGACCACAAATAATAGATTATTGATTTTAGCATTACCACCAATTTATTGATATTAGTTGTTTTCTGAGTACTGGAATACCGACATCAAGGTTCCCTAATGTAACATTTTCTTCCCATTTTTACTTTGCCTAGTCTACATCCTTTCCCCATCACTTCCGCCTCTCAATTGCTCAGATGCCTCAGCAGAAGATATCCTCGCTCAAGATTTATTTTGACGAGCTAGAAGAGACCAGCGGCGATGACGAATGCAAGGCCTGGTTAAGTAGAGCTTTTGACTCAAGGGCTGAACTGACAGTTTTTGTCGCTGGACGGCGGGAAGGAGGGGGAACTGGAGAATATGTTGGTTTTCTTAAGGGTTCCTTTAACATTAGCTTCCACTTCAGCTTCGGCGATAGACGGCCGGATGTCATTATTCGGTTCCCGAAGCCCGGGCACACGGCTACAGCTTATAGGGAAGAAAAAGGTGTGAATGAGGTCCATATCATGGAATACCTCCACTAAAACACTGATATCCCTATTCCTCGTGTTCACAGATGGGGCTTAGTTGCCGGAGTCCACAACACCTTGGTCCATTCATAATCATGGAGGATGTCAGTGGTACACTTTTATCGACTATCTTGAAACAACCCGATCAAGAAAATATGATTCTGAACCCGAACATCGACAACACAACACATAATGACGGTGCGGGTGTTCAGTTGCTTGATGATAAGGCGCGTGCAGAGATGGAGCCATTTACGTAGATTAAGATGGAGCAGTTGAAGGCATATAAGGAGGAGTGTGCTGCTCGTTTTTCCTCAGAGATGTAGAGGAGATGTAGCAATCTTGTCTGATCTTCCATCGATGTCACTTTCCCGCTACATTCATAAAAAATCATGTATGGTGACGTGATAACTATAACTAACTAGTTATATAGTTGGTATGTTATGTTGTAGCCGTGCCAAGCACCCAATATAGCGCCGCAGCAAACGCCAGCAAACGCAAATCTAAACATTAAGTAACTAGTTATCAAGGTTTTGTATGACTTACTAATACAAAAGGTACTTAACTAAGCACCCCATAGTTAAGCATAACATACTTTTTTCTTGGCCCTCAAACTAGTTAGGGAAAATATAAGAATGCGTAGATAGGGTGAAGTAGGTCTATATTATTTAACCGAACTTTGTTAAGGAATATCAAGTATACTAAAATACAGAAATTATCTATAACAGTCTACTTCATAAAGATTCACCCACCTCCACTCAATTTTATTAGTGCACAATTAGCGTAGTAGTTTATATTGTATTTTTACAAATGAATACTGTATTAATTTTTTTTTAAAACAGGGCTCTTTGCACTCTCAACTCTAACTCTTAACTCTCAATTTCTTACTACCTTACTATCTTAGTATGTAGTAGGTCCCCTATTAGCAGCAATCACTGCCTGGCACCTCAATGGCATACTATCAATCAGACCAGGTAGGAATTCCTCCGGTACAGCATCCGAGGCCTCCTAAACCATACCACGAAGCTTCGACAAACGAAAGTGTTGATCCCTATACTTTCTGTCAATATAATCCTTCATCTAGTTCCATACCTCCTCAATAGGGTTTAGATCAGGTAAAAAAGTAGGCTATTCTATCACAGTAATCCTAAGCTCCTCGAAGAAATCAAGGGTCTCTTTAGCAGTATGTCTAGGAGTATTATCGTATATAACAACCGGATCTTATCCCCTTCTTAGACGGAAGACGCCTTCTATCAAGGGAGCAATACGTACAATATATGATTCACTATATAGGTGTAGGGACTTCCATAGTAAATTGAACTGAAGTGGATTGAATTGAATTGAATTGTAGAGAGAGTAGTTGAAGAATGAAGAATTCAAAATCATAGCTAACTATACATGTTCTAACTAGTATAGGGGTGGGTGAATCTTTACAGGGTACGACATAGGCTGTTGTACTCCGTACTGTCATGTCATGCGCTATATAGTTATATCGGAACCTGGTCTATCTGAGCGTAATGCTCAGATATAATGGTCTTCTGGCCCAGTGTGTAACTCGCTAGTCCAGGGGCAGGTTGTAACACGTACAATAAATAACTACCAAAACATTTAATGAGTTACTTATATTGTACACTAGTATACCTCATCGTAGTATAGCTATCCTCACAGAGAACACAAGATTACAAATTTCATATAGTCAGAATAACTTTTGTAGTAGACTAACTCAAATACACTCACATTATAAATTGACGTTTCTATTTCTCCTCTAGCTAGTGTTAGGGTTGAATTGCGCTAATATTGTACTGAGGTATCTTTTTTATGGCAGCTCCATACAAAAGATACTTAATTATTGAAATTGTAATTTTGTGAAGGTACGGTTAGCACACGTTTTTTTTCTGATCGACTCTTCCATCTTAACTCGAAGAGTAACATCAGAGGTTAGTCCTCCGGACCAGCCAGGAAGATCGTGAGGAAGGAATTCGTGACTTATCCCCTTCTTAGATGGAAGAAGCCTTCTACAAAGGAGCAATACGTACAATATAGGTATTGCCTCAACCGACCGCCCTGTGATCAGCCGATCATATCGTGCCCTAATATCCAAGTGTATATATTGTATATAATTCTTGCTTTACGCTTTTTCCCCGTTTATCTCTAGTGCTTTAAAACCAATAATGTATATAATGCAATGGATGGCTTTAATGGTTTCTATTAGTGTAATCTAGTTTAAGTGTGGCTGAACGAAGAAAGCTTCGTTATTCTGCTGTCCGTTATTCTACTGTCTACATATAACATTTAAAAAAGACCATGATAAAGTAACCACTGGACTAATAATACTGTTCCCGGTATTCAGGATGGTGCTCCAGGATGATGCTCGAGGAGCATAGCCTAAACTCTCGGCGTTCTACCGCGGCGACGGGGCCGACGGCGCAACGTTCTTTAGATATTTGTTTACCTCTCCTCTCGTCACCTTCTCGCCTCGTCCGGCTATCAACTATACCTCCTCGCCTCGTCCGGCTGTCAACTATGGCTCGAGTCTCAAATTCGAACTTTGGATGGAACGACCTCGGTCAGAACAAAAAAGGTATTTGGTCCAACTGTTCGTACTTTGTGGTCCTGAAAGCGCATATTGTGATGAGAAAATACACTTTGAAAGTGACTGTCCCCAGCTCCACGCGACTAGGGGACTGGACACATTGAGGACTATGAAAAGAACTCTGATCATGCAAGGAAATCTTCTTTATTTAGCTTTATGGCTTCATTTCGTTGTGATCCTGGAAGCTCCCGCTAACATATTATAGGTTTCCATATGACCCTCCTCCCCACACCAACAAGCACGATTGGTATTCGGTACCACAGAAAGCACATTTTACGACGAGAAGATACCATACTTCGAGTAACCGTGGACGATCGGAGCCAATGGTCTCAGTAATAGGTTTGGAAAACATTTGATGCAAGGCGAAATGAGATATCTTGTTTCCTCGACTGATAATACAGCTCATTTGAACTTACTACATGGCTCGATGCCAACACTTCAAAGCTCTACAGACTAATAGTTATCTAGGATATTTGAAAGCTCGCAATAAGAACTTGAACATCTACGGTTTCGACTGGCCCTTAGGCTATGTCCGATTGAGACCAAACCGTTCGCAACCCTACTTTACTTGTTTGATCCCAACCCATGTGTCGATATCAGCTCGCTGGCTGACATGGGACCAAAGACCGACATCCTCAACGTATGACCCAGTTTCCCTCATGTTGATATCGGAGCTTTTTTGCTAATCGTGCCAAAATACTTTAGATTTCCAATTTTCCATTCAGGTATGACTTTACACCGTCTTTGATCACCTATGAACAATTGAAGCGCCAAGATGATGATATCTAAATCTACACAAACCCGAGTCTACACGGGCCATGCGGGCCAATTATGAAAAGAACATCTGATGCGAGGCCAGGAAGAGAATACATTGCCCCAATTAACATGTTACATGGTTGACTTGATTATATCGCTGACTTTTCCAATTATCTATGTAGGTCCGCTCCCCCGATTCGATACCGTCGTGCAGTGGTCATAGCATATTGATGGACAAGCCCGAAAGCTCGCAGATGATGGTTTATGCTTGCTCTATTTTAGGGAGTTGCTTTGGCAATATCCACGAATAGAGAAAGTATACCTACCTGATGCGAGGAGCCCGAGGCTCATGGAGGTACGCCCTCAATATGCTGGATCATGATATGATCGATCGAAGCGCATGTTGGATGGCCGAGACAAAAGGAGAGGTAAATTTTCTATTCCTCTGACCATTGACTATGCTCTGATCATTGACTATGACCTTTTAGACGAAACTTCCCAGGATCGTACCTGGACGGATATACTTCAGTCGTGATCGAGACAAATAAAGGCAAGTCTTACCTACAAATTTTTCTTTTTTGAGAAAGGTTAATCTGCTCCTAAGTGATGATCAATAAGTTACTACATCCGAGGAGGCTATGCATTTGTATAGCCTCCAACGAAAGAGAAAAAGAATATCTGATAGGAGCAAAACAATATCTAGGTACACCTACAACTTCGACATATTTTGCCTCCAGCGGAGCTCTACATCTCGACGAGAACACGGCTATGATTCATTCACTGTTGATTGAGATGATCAAAGAAAGGAAAGTTTCCCCATCCCTCCAATTTTTTATTCTTTTTTGGTGAAAATTTATCACAGGTATAAAGATCTTGCAAGACTCCTAAGTGATGATATCAATATATGAACCTGTACTACATCCAAGGAGGCTATGCATTGGTATAGCCTCCAATGAGATGAAAAAAGGAAAAAAATCTGATAGGAGCAAAACAAGGTTTCCACTACAAACAGTTGATCTCTCGATATATGCATCTACAACTTCGCTATATTTTGACTCCAGTGGAGTCCTACATCTCGATGAGAACACGACTATGCCACACCGTTGATTGAGAGGAGCAAACAAAGACAAGCTTCCCATTCCCCTGCATTTTTGTGATTGCTAATTATGATTTAGATGAACTCACTCCGAGTGTATGAAACCATATCCAGTGGGCAAGCCTCGAAACTCATACATGATGACTGTTGAATTGCTCAATTGAGTACCTACGCATTTGCATGAAGAACATGGTCAGATACAAGATGAACACGAGGCCTCGACAACCGTTGATTGAGAAAGGTACGTTGGCAATTCCCTGATACTTTTGATATTTGATCCCTATGGATAAAAATATCGGCCATGCAGTTGAACTTCGCTAACGGTTGAGTCTCATAACTAGGACTTGCAAGTGGATATATATCTATAGACCACCCTCTCAACTTACAAATAACAACGTTGCGCCGATCCCGATCCCATACTTCCCTATCGAATGCTACCCCGAGGAGGAAATAAAGAACTTGTGACGCAGGAGGAAGCGAGGGGTGGCCGAGAGAAACATTGCAATTGGTCTACATTGATGGTTCACTTATGCACTGAAGATGAAATGGTAGGTTCCCTGCCTAAGGGTATCAATGATAATACAATGCAATATCTGACTGATTACTAGTCCCGGGCTGTTTTGAGACGAGAGATACGACGAAGAGTTATTAGAAACGTTGGGAGCACTCCGAGAGCTGTTGCTGGAAATGTGGAAACAGAGCTGCAGTACTTGCTGCAAGTGTTAACAATTCCTCTGTCCTGTATGTAAGGGTTCATGTCGCCGAAAGCATCTGGCTATGACAAGAAATTGAACTATTATCCAATTGGACCGATGTTTGGCGGTATATTCGAGTGACAGATGGCCAAATGTCCCGGCTGAGTTCGCTATATATAGATCCATAAAAGATCATAAATCCTAGATGTGGTCCAAGCATGTGAGAACGAGGGGTGAGTACCTCGGTGGTTTACTTCTAGCACATATACCTACCCCAAGTTTGGCGTATGGAGAACATAAATCTGGGAAAAAGTGAGACCAATGTTAGAACACCATAGCTAAAATAACCCCAAAGAATCCAAAAAACAAAAGATGTGAACAAGATGAAACCCAGTATCATTTGAGTAGATTTTCCTGGCTATGCTAGGTATTTTTTCCAGCCGTGCAGGACAGCGCCAGTGAAAAACATATCAACAAGGCACCGGAACAACAACCAGAGGTCATTTTCCCAAATTCCTCTAGCCCGGTCCTCTGATCTCATGTAAGAGCGGTTAAACCGAACAAAAACCGCTCGAACATCCCCGAATCCTCCCAAGTCCCCAGTCCACCAAGAAGTCATGGAAATAAGTCGTGATAGAAAAAACATATGAAGACAGACATATTCCACTTCCCCGTTGCCGTAAACTTTTCTTTTCCCTTTCGCCGCGTAACAAGTGAGAAAGAAAAATTTAACGGTAGGACTTCTGGTAGCGGGAGCGGGCACCGCGACCACCGAACTTCTTGGGCTCGGCACGGCGGTTGTCGGCAACCAGGAGTGTGCGGTCGTACTGAGCAAGAGCCTGCTTCAGCTGGTTCTTGGAGTGCTCATCGACGTACTTCTGGTAGTAGGCGACAATGGACTTGGCGATAGCCTGACGGATGGCGTAGACCTGCGAGGTGTGACCACCACCGGTAACGCGGACACGGATGTCGACACCGGCGAACTTGTCAACGCCGACGATGAGGAGGGGCTCGTAGACCTAAAAATTCGAGCGTGAATTGTCAGAAACCGATTTCGTAGACGTTTTCTCATTGCCATTGTCGCTTGCGATTCGGGCGAATCCCTTCTTTTGTGGCGCGCGGCAATTGGTGGACCGAATGAATTGTGCGTACCTTGAAACGGAGGATCTCGGGCTGGACCAGGGAGAGGGGCTGGCCGTTAACCTTGACGAGGCCCTTGCCTTGCTGTAAAAAGTCTCAGCATGTTGTCCAATCCAATGTGTATATGACCCCGATGATCGCGCAACATGTTGTTTCGTATATCCTTCCAAAATTCAATCCAGTTCGTCACTTCGTGCACAATTCCTTTCCGGCTGTCTTCCTTCCAGATATTTCGAAACAACGTATTGGGACCGAGGGGGTATAGGCGTTCATCATACCTTGCAGTGGGCGACAGCGGTGGCTATTGAAAATTAAACATGTCAGCGCACGGGTTCATTCATAGTGATCTCGGGTCGAAAAAAAGAGAGCTTACCCGTCTTCTTCTTGCCGAAGCATTGCACACTCGGGACGGAAGCCATGGTGGATTGTCGTGGGGGAGGGAGTGTGTTGTCGAGGGAGATGGAAAAAGAGTCACTTGAATTCCCATACACAGTGATTTGCCCTTCCGTGCGGGTTTCGCTTAGTGTGCGGCGCTAATTCTGAATTGGGACTAGCGTAGCACGAGACTTAGGGCTTGGTCACATGACCCGGAGAACTTCAGTCGGGGGCGGGTTAGAGGCTACAAGCAATACAGAGAACGCCGAGATCATCATTATCTCAAATACTACGGCGCTGAGTCTGTTTTTGTTGCCGGGATCTTCAATCGAACTTCTCCACCTTTCGTTAATTGTCTAATTGCCCCTCACCCCGGCATCTACACTCCCCTCCGCCGCGTCAACAAGATGTCGCAACTCGTTGGCAAGGTAAATAGCTTCAAAGCGGAGCCTTCCGGGCCAACCGCGCACGTCCTGCGTTCAAGCAAACAACCCAATTCTAATAATTGACTCATCAGACCCGTCTCGCCTACTCGCGCACATGGCACTATGTCGACGCCGGCGCCGATGAACGATCCCTCGGCCGCCTCGCCTCGTCGATCGCCCTCGTTTTGATGGGCAAGAACAAGCCTATCTACGACCCCTCAACAGACTGTGGCGACTACGTGGTGGTTGTGGGGTGTCATGATCTCAAGACAACAGGAAAGAAGCGATTCCAGAAGAAGTACTACACGCACACGACGCGGCCCGGTAGCTTGAAGAGCATGACGATGGATCAGATGTTCGCCAAATGGGGTGGTGGTGAAGTCCTCCGCCGCGCTGTTAGGGGCATGCTGCCCAAGAACCGACTTAAGGATTCCCGCCTCGCTCGATTGAAGAGTAAGTTGCGTGGTTGTTGCGCTCCCGCTCCTTGGATGAATTACTTGATGGAGATTTACACGGGTTCATATTTGAAGAGCATGGACCCTATCCATTCAGCCCATCTACTTTATTCATGCTTTGAACCCAGTCTAACCCAATATCGCGTAGCTTTCGAAGGTGTCGCCCACCCTTACAAGGAGAATATCGTCAAATTCGGCAACCAATCGGTGATCGGAAATCTACCCGAAGTGCAGGAAGCATTCAAAGAAGCCGCCGACAAGCCAAGCGCATAAAGCATCGTTTTTCATCTCTCCTTCTTTCGTCATTTTACAACACCGACCTAAACCGGGTCTGTGTCTGCCTGTATTCTATTCTCCTGCGATGTTATGATCCTACTGCAAAAGCGCATGGGTGTGGAGTCCATTTGGGATATTGCTTTTGATTATCTACTCCGTTGACTTGGCCTCGGACTTTAACTTTCGAGCCTGCGGTTCTTTTGAAATGTACTTATAGCACATACAATCACAATACCACGTACTATACAATGCTTCTCTATCTTGTCTATAATGCTGCATGGGAAGAGGTGTACTGGATTGGATTCAATATATAGGGAGTCTGATCCCAGAGGTATAGGAAATGGATATATGTACAAGAGAGAGAGAGAAAGAGAAAAAAAAAACAAGCTAGCGTCCATGTCGGAGCTCGCCGACAATCCTCTAAAGAGCATTTACAGCTTAGCCTTTTGGCCCGCGCGACCAACGGTGCACTTGATGAGACCATTGGGGTTGGATTGGGGAGCGTACACCTCGGCATCCTTGCCGGTGTTCTTGATACCCTTGTGCCAGCTGAGATCTAAAAGCGGGAGATTAGCCCGAATCCAAAAGGGTTATGGGGGAGAAGGTCAAACATACCAACTTCAAAGAAGTGAATATTAGGCAGCGCATACCCAACAGTATCCAGCAGAGGTACAGCAGCAAGAATCTGCTCTCCCATCTTGTACATTGTAGCTTGGACGGAGGCACTGTTATCCTCAGCAAAGGTCTTGAGGGTAATAGCGCGGGCCGCCTCCCAAGCAGCATTGAACTTCTCCGAGTGCATCTTAACATCCGCGAGGCCAGTGAAGAGGCGCCATTGCCAGTTCGCCGCAACATCGGTGCTGAGGAGACGATCCCAGGTCTCCTTGAGGGTAGTGTATTCGTCGCGGACGAAACCCCAGAACTGGGAACCGGTGCTCTTCAGCACGGTCAGACCCTTGATAGAAGAGTTGATCTCGATACCCTTGCCCTCGATAACGTCGACTTGCACATTGCGAGTCTCGGAACCGGGCTTGATAAACGAGTGCGGGTGCGGCTTGCCGTCAATGTCCAGGCGCACCCAGCGGTGGGTCACGATATTGACGTGCGCCGCGTGGATATGACTGTACTTCTCGATGAAGTGTGTGCCCAGGATTGAGCCAAACAGCTCCGGTGGGTCTACGGGGTTCTGCTTGGCTGTAATGAAAATGGTGTTCTTGATCGAGTCGGTTGCGACAACGACGCTGTTGTCGGCTTTGGTGTAACTGTGGAGACCTTGGGTTTAGCTTTTGGAGATGAGAAATGTTGCTGGACTTGTCGCTGGACTTATCGCTGGACTTACGAGGTTTCAATATCGCCCTCCAGAAGAACACAGACGGTCATTTCCACGACAGTCTGGATACCGGTCTTTTCATCGCGGTGTACCTTACACACGCGGACATTGTCCTTACCATATCGGGCGGCTGCTAATGCGCTCATGTTGAATTGGGAATGATGATGTTGGAATATAGAAGAGAAGAAGGAGTAGAAAATGCTGAAGAGTAAAATAATAGATGCAAAATAGTATTATCCAGCAGCTTAAACGAGTATTTATTCTGGAATGTCCGGAGTAGTGAATTGGCTGATCTCAAGATCATCGGGCACCTCCGATGGCCGCTCTGGTCGCGAGTGGCCGCTCTCCCCCAAATCCCGATCTTATCAGTTGGCAAGTAGACAGCTTCTTTTCTTTCTTTCTTTCTTTATGTATGGCATGGCATTGACATTCTCAGCCTATCATCATCATCACCATACAGAAAAGAAAGAAAGAGAGGAATACAATCTCATTTTCCCCAGACTTTCGGGACATGAGCCGAGTGCAAATACAGTGGAGATCATTTTCACATTCCACCAACCCCCGAATTTCCGACCTCCGATCTCCGACTCTACAAACATCAACTGCAAACCCCTCGATTATTATATTTCAAATCCCGCTCAGTACTACAATGCCAATCAGCCCGGAGACCTCCACTGCGGACTCCCGGCGAGCTGCGAGCTGCGAGCCATGAAAGACGTGGAAGTCCTGGCAATAAACACTCGGCGCTGACATGATATGCTCTGTGCTGACAACTGTCATAGTAGGCGTGCGCAGTGACCTCGTCGCTGGTAGTACAATGCGGGGAGAAAGATGTCAAGGTCTGTACGTTGACTCGCCTTGATGACGAGATGTTATGGCTTTTTTGTTCTCCCTGGTTCATTTGCGTACTTTCTACGGAGAGTACGTCGGGGTCAAGGCTTTAAGGCTTTAAGGGTATCCTACTTTCCATCGTCCGCAGTAGGTTATATCTATATCCTCCGTGGTGTATACCACTGGGCATGTTTCTAGCGCAAATCGGGTATCTATGAGGCCTACGGAACGCAGTATATCTTTCCGAATAACCCCCAACAACGAACACAATTCCCCATCAGGATGCATATTTCGGGTTCAGAACGCCCAGATAACGCTGACATCTTCGCTGAGACTCAGTAATCGAAGAGCCTCAATACCCACAGAGCACAGGAGAATACCTACGTACCGCATAGGGAAAATGCGTGGGCTACGCATCCTGTCACAGCATGTGCAAACGTCAAACATACTGACCAATCTAGCGGTCAACGACGATTGTTATGCTGAAGTTGGTTTGCCTCTATGTCGGTGACGATATTACCCGAGACTTATCATGTGCCCAGGCAAGCTGCCGACAGCGCTGCTCCAGCGACCAAAGCAGAGTTTCATCTTTAAGCAGGGAATAACCAAGATATATTTAACTATGTGCCAGTCTCTCTCTATCCATCTGTGCATACCGAACCCCAAAATACCCGTCCAAATTGCAGCTGGGAACAATCCCCAAGACTCATACCCCCAAAATCACAGTATGTAAGATGTATGTCAGATCCAGATAGCAGATTGGATTTCTCTTTTTTGACCAAAGAAATAATCCATAATTCAACAGAGTGCATCATTGAAACAAATGCCAAGCACGCCCGATCTCCGGCTTAGATTGCAATTGTCGAATCGGAGGGTGTGGTTGGTGCCAATGCGCAACAGAATCTGGGCAGTGGTGGTATGTCTGCAACGTTGATCTGACGAATCCTATATGTAGTGCACACTTCCAAGCATTATCAATCCTCCATCATATCTTGCTATTGGATCAAATGTCTATCAGTAGAAGGCGGGCGAAGGATATCCGATTCTCGGTCAAAGCTGGGCTGACGGGTTTCTTGGTGCTTCTTTGTTCAACAAAGAGTCTTCACTCGCCTGTTATGTGTGTGGTATTTACCAACTAAAATTATTGGGGTTGTTTTTCTAATACTTTCGGCTTGGACTGCATTTCCAATTAGTCGAACCTCATATTAGTCGGGGCTTATACTCGTCATTCGAGGTACTTCTTTGTTCTCACTTCGCAAAAGCCACTCGTCCTGTTTCCAGATAACAATGACCATGAGTGATCTATCGAACCTCAAGAGAGAGTCAGGGGGAAAGCGTGCCCCCTGGCTATTGAAGTTTCGTTCCTCGACCGGTTTTATCATCGGTGCAGTCTGGATGTCCACCTTCACGGTACGTGAGAGCCTAGTTGCCTCGTCTTATAAATCCGCAACTGACCGAGACTCAACTGGAATAAGGAGTTCCTCCTATATGCCATGGTAAGCAAAAGCTCACTTCCAGAATGTGAACTGGATACAGAATCAACGAACAACAGATAGTCCCCGTAATGCCAACAGCCCTCGTAACCCGAGCCGGGATCGAATTTGAACACCGTATGTCCTGTTCCTACTCCTACTAACAGATTCCCATCACAAATCATCTCGCACACTAACCTTCAAACAGGAGAATATTGGGTCAGCGTCCTTCTCATGTCCGAAGCAGGCACGGCTCTGTTGATGTGTCCCGTATTCGGATACCTGGTCGACCGCGGACGCACACGTCGACTGCCCTTCATTGGTTCCCTGGTCGTATTAACCGGCTGCATGCTGATCTTACAGCTGGCACATTCCATCGCCGCATTTGTTGCGGCTCGTGTACTCCAAGGAATTGCAGGCGCTTTAGTAGTGGTGGCGGCATTCGCTCTCATCGGCGATGCTGTGGACCAGGAGAATCTCGGTCAAACGATAGGGTATCTTGGCTCTGCCATTGCCTCGGGCTTCTTACTGGGTCCGTTCCTCGGAGGGGTGGTGTATAACTCTGGTGGATACAACGCCGTGTTCTGGTTTGCGTATCCTATTCTCGCACTTGACATGGTTATGCGGCTGGTTTTGATCGAGAAGAAGGTCGCTGCTCAGTGGACTGGAGAATCGAATGGAGACATGGAATCGGTCCTAGAGACGGCGGAGCGTATTCCCTCTGTCGGTTCGCGTGAACCACAGGTCACCCAGAGAAGAAAGGGATTCGTTATCTTCCGGATGCTCAAGCAGCGCAGAGTGTTGATCTCTTCATGGGCACTTCTCGCCCAGGGACTCTTGCTTTCTGCTTTTGATGCGGTATGTACCAGGCTCGGCGTCTTTAACATGGATAACTGGCTAATCATATCAAGACACTCCCCATCTTCGTCGAAACGACATTTGGCTGGAACGCCCTCGGCATGGGACTAATCTTCCTCCCAATGGCTGTCCCGGCCTTCTTCGAGCCGCTGTTTGGCGGCTTCACCGACAAGTTCGGTGCCCGCTTCGTAGCCTTCGGGTGTTTTGTTTCTCTCTCGCCCACCCTCATTTGTCTCCGGTTCGTTCACACCAAGTCGAATGAACAGATCGCTTTATTAGTAGTATTGCTCTTCCTTAACGGGATTTTCATCCACGCCTGCGCACCAGCTATGTACGTTGAGACGCAGCGCGCGCTCACAGCGATGGAACTCAAGAGTCCGGGTATACTCGGACCCAAGGGTGCTGTGGCTCAGGGGTTCGGACTGCAAAGCATGTGTCAATTTGCGGGGGTGTTCTTTGGACCGCTTTGGGGTGGGTTTGTTGAATATCGTTTCGGGTGGGGAGCGATGACAGGGACTTTGGGGGTCTTGGTAGCGCTCACTGCATTGCCGATGTTGTGGTTGGGAGAAAATGAGGAGGAAAGGGCTTTAATGAGTTGAATGAGGGTTACGCAGTTAGGCAGCATCTTTTCTTTTGGAAGTATCAGTTCTACCTGCTGCCCTACCATCATACATGTAGGTAACTAGGTAGTATCCTGTCTCTCCTCGATGAACTGCGTCTTGATTCCTTCTCCCACTTCCTTGCTTCTATATCTCAGTTCGTATTGACTACCCATGATGAATGAAACTCAACACCCAGAACTCCAGAGTCTGTACCTTTCCTATTTTTTGTTTCCTTAAACATATCCTCCTCTTCATTCAACCAATTTTCCTCAAGTACCGTAGCAATAGTCTCTAATACAAACTGATGGCTCTACAGACCCGTCCCTTGCACTCATGATCCATCTTCTTTAATGAGTGATCTTCCAGATGGATATGTTTTACATTACTTCTCCTGTTTCAAACTACTACACACCTGTGCCAAAATTCTCGCGGACTCACTTCAATCGAAGTCGGAAAAAGTGGCTTGTGATTCTTGGAATATTCCAAACAGCTATACGAAGACTCGATGAAGACCACAATTGCTTAACGGGTGTCAACTACAGACAGATTCTCATGGAAATGGAGTACCGGACTCCTGAAGATAATCGATAATCCCTTCCTTTGAACACGATCCCGTCACAGATGAGTTTACCAGGTTCATGGATCTTTCACTTATATACTCCGTACATGGGAATCATTTCCATGGCGAACAGAAATAGGTGGCAACAACGTACAAGCCCACTATAAACAAAGGCAAACAAGCAGACCAAGGATTCCTTCCCCCATCTCCGCCGCCCGCCTACCCCTGAGCTCTCTCCTGGCTGGCCAACCCTGACTATTGAAACCGGACTATCCGGATCGTTGTCCCAGCGTCGAAAAGACGCCTTATGGTGGGTATACAACTCTTCCGATGAGGTCCGAGCCAACAACAAGCAGTTTCCTAGCAACCGTACTGTGATCACGAGGTCGCAGTTACCGCTAAGAGTGTGACTAGTGCCTAGCTTACACTACCATTTGCTGCGGTGTATGATCGAGCACCGGTAGCGGTGGCAGGGGAGGGAGATATTGTTTTTACAGCGCAGGATTTTCTGGGTATCACTAGTAATCTATTTTAATATTGTGGTCTGCTTTTTTATGAGGATCAGTTGGTCGGGTTTGGCTTGATATTACCGATGTGCATGTTGATGCTGGGGCGAGGTTTGTGAGGCCGGGGTTGTTGTTGTTTGTCGTCCACACGAGAAGGCGGAGGAGGTGCATTGGGAGGTCTTGGAAAGATATACTGATGCGTGTGCGACGTTTTGAGGTTCATGATGTTGTTGAGCCAGATCTGACCTGCATCCAGGGAGACCTTACTAGAGAGGAGGCGCCCGTTAACTTCTGCTTCGTTAACGGGGGGCTGATTATGCCGGCGTTTGGGGATGGGGATGCTGAGGCCGACAAGAAGGCTTTTGAGTTGCTGAAGAGTCTGGTTCCTGAGAAAGAGGTTGTTCATTAGGTGAAGGTTAACGCCTTGCCTAGGACTGGAGGTATGTTGCATTGTGTTATCAGCAGGGGCTGTGAGGGACTATATGTAGCTAGTTGCTCAAGTAGATATACAAATCTCACCTTTTACTTGACAGAGGTCAATACCTAATCGTGCATATGCATGCAGTCTACAGGAGGATGCCGATCCCGAGTAACAATATTCAAACATGTGATATTGATGATAACTAACTAGTGATGTTGACCTCGAAAAAGCATGTTTTGACCATCAACCTGCAAGTGTCGAAGAGAGACAGGACAAAAGAGATAGAGGAGAGAGGGGAGAGAAAATTTAAACGAGAGACTGAACAGACGCCCCCATTCCCACGCAGATCGTAAGTCATGTAGAATAGTGTGTAAGATGTATGTCTTTTTTGGGCTCCTTTTGTACCAGCAAAATCACCAGTAAGAAACCAAGATCCCCAGTTGAAACCTGATAGATATCATTCCCCAAATCCAGATTCCAGACCTAGACAGATATCCGAGAACGCAGGGAAGAAATGAAAAAAAGGGGAAGAAAGAGAAGAACACCGTCCCAGGACGCCCAGTAATGCCGCGCCATTATCAACAGACCTATAGAACGGGGGCGAGAAAAGACAAAAGAAAAAGGAAATACACATAAAACTCGTGATTGAGGAGGGTCGGATAACCATCCGATCGAGCATCCGATTGCATTTCCAGGATGGGGGCCAACGCCCGAGTCAGTCAACCGTCAACCCAGAACAGCATCAATACCAGACCGAAAATCAAACCAAACGCCAAACCCCAGATCCCAAACCCATAAACCCTCTCTCCCAAGATCCGATTCCCCGCATTCTTACATCTCAAAGACTCAACTGATCAATACTCCCCACCCGCCCACTCCCGCCAAGCCTTCCCCCACCCTTCGTAACCATCCCGAGCCGATAAAAGCGCTCTTCACCAGCCGGTGTTCTTCCACCAATATACCACTTCTCAGGACCGATGGCATCGCGGAACCCGCCTGAGCCACTGGAAGAGTCACTCCCGCGGCGCTGGCGATCTGCAGTGTGGTTGATCGGAATGGGTGTTGAAGTGGATGATGGTGGTGTAGAGGGGAGAGATGGTTGATCGTGGTGGTAGTGGTGTGAAGGGGCCGGACTTGGGCCTTGGACTGGACCGGCAGGTGCTGTAGTTACCGAGGAGGTGGGAGAGGATGTGTGGGTGTGGTGGTTATGGTTATGGTGGTTGTGGTTGTGATTGTGGTGAGTGTGATGGGCTCCGGCGGATGCGGATGATGACGCTGAAGCGCCTTGAGCGGAGTTCGCTGCTTTTGTGGCGATGGTGCGGGCGCTCTGGGAGATCTGGGCGGAGGAGATGGTTGAGGTTGTAGTGCTGACTTGCTGGGTGGTGGGTTTGTAGGTTGACTGGGCGCGGAAAGCGGCCAGGAAGTTGGAGAGGAATGGACGGTTGTTCGACATTGTTCGACACAGATGGTTCACCTGTATAGAGAGAGAATAAAAGTTGTCATGTAGAACTTGGGGAGAACCTTGGAAGTTATGAGTCGATTTCGAGAGTTCCCGATGCCATAGGCGCTCCAATCACGAGCGGTGGATTTATGGCCATGACGTTACATAGGAAGTTCCCGGACTGTCTTTTATATCCTTTCTCTCTCTAGTCTCTCCATTCTCTCCATTTCTCCGCGACTATACGGAGTACATCTGTCTATTATGTACAGGGTACATATAAAACAACTACATGGTGATCTTCTTCCCCAGTGGTTCCCCAGGGCTCCCCAGGATTCCCTACATAGACACTTCCAATATTACTTGCAGGTATCAAATGGATCATAAGTCTATTTCTAGCTGCTTTTCTAGTAAAACCCAAGAATAGAACAAACACCATAAATCACACCTCAAGAAATTCCCAAAGCACACATATGTCCTGCCATGCCGACTTTACACGAGAGAAGAGGCCATGCGATGCAGAAGAAAAACGAGAAAAAATAAAAGAACATGGTAAAAACAATTGAACTGCGAGAATGAAAGAAATGTGACAATTCGACAACAACCATCCCATAAAAGATAATGTAAAAAAAAAAAAAAAGCTTTTCTTCTTTCTGATGTCGAACACTCGCGCAAAAGATGAACACATGCCCATGTCTATGTTGTGGACGCCGAACAAACCACCCACCATACCATCTGCCCCTCTCAGCGGGGGTTCAAGATAAAAGATAACCAGACTCGCAAACCACTTGGGTAAGAATGCACACCCACACCGGATGGGGATCAGAATAAAAAAAAGAAAAAGATAGATCAAAGGACAAACGATACTAAAACAAAACCGGGAACGGAGGACGCTAAGAACACGAAACACCACAAGCTGAGTGAACGGATCAAAGGTCTATCGGAGACGGATTTGTTGAGACATCGTGACCAGTGGATTTGTACCAGCAGAGAAGCTAGGAACGAAGGCCTAGAAACAATAGAAGAGAGGGTGGAGAGCAATAGTCCTACCCACGGCGTGAAGAAGGGAAGAAACCTGATATGGTCTGTTGCTTCGTCAAAAAACACTTTTTCAATCTCATGCCTCAAGTCATCATTTTGCTTTCCGATCGAATTCACCGTCTACTGTCTCGCGGGCTGCACGGTACCTGCATATTATTGTTAGCAACAAAGTCCAGAATATGAACAGGGCAGAAAAGATTAAAAAAAAAAAAAAAAAAAAAACCATCTCCGCTCAGCGTAGTTGAGGCAAGGTACAGTCCGTTCATACCACTCTCGGGACCGGTTGAGGCGGGGTAGAACTTGCGGTCGTGGTCGACGGGGGCGTGGATCGGCTCCTGGCCCGCGGCCATGGAGTGGGGGAAAACGGGGTTAATGTACCCATCGGAAGAACCGTGCTGAAACATCGAATTCCAGTCAACACCCGGGTGATGTGAATGGGGACCGGGCATGACCGGTTTGTGGTCATGATAGACCGGGGGCTTTACCTGTTCAAGGGGACGATCAACCGTCAGCTGCTGGCCATGGGCATCGACACCAGGCTGCATGAGATACGGATTCTGCTTGGGTCCAGCCATCCACGAGGTTCTCGCGTGCGCCTGGCCAGCGGAGAACGCGTCGTCACCGGGACCACGGTTCATGCCGTTGACAGACTGCATCGTGAAGCCTAGAGGCTGCTGCTCCGTGTAGCCAGGACGGCCTGTGGCCATTCCATTGCCATTCACGGCCCCATCGAATTGCGTACCCATAACGCCATTGGAGTGGGGGACGGGATTACTGACTTCATCCTGGAGCGGCTTGGGAGGATTGGCCGCGGCAGCCGCAGCAGCTTGCTGCTGAGACCGCTTCAGATGGGCCTGAGGGTGGGACAAGTGAGTCGCACCGGTCGGGTTACCCCGTCGGATTGAGCATTTTTGGAAATGACGCTTCAAGATATCACTGCGGGAGAACGTGTCCTTGCATAGAACACACATGTAGGGACGGTCACCGGTGTCTATATCAATCAGAGAAAAACAATTACATCGGTTAGCAAATCTCAATCATTTTGGGAAAGTTATCTTTTTTTTTCCCTTCGATTTGGTTTCCCAAAAAAAAAAAAAAACTTACGTCTCAACAGATGGCGCTTGAGGTGCTTGGCGTGGAGGTAAGTCTTGTTGCAGTGCGGGCAGGGAAATTTTCCATCGGCGTCCTTAGCAGGGATAGTCGTGCTCTTAGCTGTACCATTGACACCGTTGGCGACCGGAGTCGCGCGGCCGGGGACACTCGGCAGAATACCACGGCGGCCCTGAGAGCCCACGACCTGCGTCCGTGGCGGTTCTTTGGCGTAGGGGGAGCCGTTCGCGCCATTCACATCAGGAGTCATACCCCAACCCTTGCCATCCGAGTAACTAAAGGCACCGGAGGGAAGACCATTGAAATCCGGGCGACGGTCGCGTGGGGGTGCCGGGGCGATCGGCTGAGGATAGCTCTGAGCGGAGGATGCGGGCGGAAGGACGCTCGGAGGTGGGGGGTACTGCTGATGCGCCTGTGTTTGAGGGTTAGGAAGATTCAACAGAGACGATGGCGGAAGGCTACCGACAGTCGTGTGCGGCATCATAGGGGCCTGAGAAGCCCCGTAGACATCGTGAGTTGACGGAGGGTACCGCGACAAGTCCGGACGGTACGGCTGACCCATGTAGTGGTGAGGCGCGGGCGACTGAGGATGATGAGGCTGCAATGGAGGCAGGGTATGCGGCTGGGAAACCGGATACTGCGGCTGCATCGAGTATTGTGGCATGTGCATGCTCGAGATAGGAGTCGAAGACATGGGCGTGGAGCCTGGAGGCAGACTGGTGGATGGAGGACGGGAAGGGTGAGATCTGGGATCCATTGTGGACAGAAGAGAGATCGTGGTAGGAAGGAAAGAAAGAAGTTGTTCACGGTAACTCAATCATCAAACCTGCACACAGGATAAATTTTTTTTTTCCTTTGAAGCGAAGGAAGCTCCTTGTTTGAAAATTTTCCTGGAACAGAGAGAGAGAGAGGCAAACGGTCACAGAGTCTCACGGGATTCACGGGTTCACACGAGTTTGACTCCACACGAACGAGAGAGAGAGAAAGAAAGAGATGCTTAATTGAAGAAGATTCCCCACGGTCACCCACCAGAAGAAAAAATAGGATGGTGATTTATCCGCACGTTGTCACCGTCGATGGTTCTGTATCCACCGAAGAAGCGGGCGTGCAAGTGGGTCTCGCAGCAAAAAACAACTAGTCCGAGATCTGCTTCGCGTCAAGATAATCCTTGAGATCGAGGAATTGACTCAGAAATAGGCCAATAGAATAAGAATATCTCAATAAATTGAAGAAATTGAAGTGCAGGGAATTGAAGTTTGAGGATTTGGGAATTGGGGGAAATTGGGGAGAAGAAGAGGAAAATGGGGGATAAGTTTCTTGGTAAAGACGAAAAGGAAAATTCTAAGGAAGACCGGGTCGAAATAAAAAAATAAAATAAAAAAACGAGAAAAGACAGAAAAGACAGAAAAGACGAGAAAATACGAAAAAAGACGATCGTTCCTCGGGGAGGCAAGAGGCGAGAGGAAGAGGGAAAAAAAAAAAAAAGAAAAAGAAAAAGACACGTAATTACAGTATTTTCAATTTAAAAATTACAAAATTTACACGGCCGTCTTCCGAACTATGGCCGATAGCGGTAGAGTAGAGACATATTAGGATTGTTGGGATTTATTGAATTCTTAGATTTATCATTTATCATTTATCATTAATTAGATCTGATTTTGATTTTGATTTAGATTGACAAAGAATAGAAGAATACTTATAAAAAAAAAAGGAGAAAAGGAGAACGTGGGTTTTTATTAGACACATAGACACATATAGAATAGACACATAGTCAAATCTCAATCACACTCCCTACGCGTTCGGATATGATGACGCACTTGCAAGGTATATCCCACCTAGGCACCCGTGGACGGATGATAACAAAGTCCCGAAACCATATGTTATACGTTGTACTCAAGCAAGATATGATGTCCTCCATATAATAATTCTATATCATATGCAATCAGATTATTTCCCGGGAGATATATCAGGAACTCCGTAGAACACCTTATGTTACAATCAAAGCCCAATTCTTAGATGTCTCCGATCGCGGCGATTACCAAACAACCACATCGGGCACAAGTGACTCCTGAGAACTAGTTAACTATTGTATGTCGTTGTCTATCTGATGTTAGAGTAGATCTTATTTATTGGAGATGGAGCCATCTCCCCGAGTGTGGATTATGAGTGACCCTGGCTGTTCTTTGTTTTGGGCTCCGCAGTGGCTGACCGGCCCCGCAAGTGACATCTTATATGTATTCACCCTCATTCCCTTACAGAGCACTCTATACGGAGCTTTGAATGACCATAAGATACTCTATCATATAGAGATAGATAGGATCTCAGTCTCAGCTCAGTCTCTGCACTGATCTCTTCAAGCACGTCATCCACGGGAGGCCCGAGGGAAGGTGAGCTCCATTGAGCTCAATACAAGACCCCATCATGCATTCTTAACCCGCTCAACCTGCAGGCTGGATTTGGCTCCTGCATGCAGCCCGGATGTACATGGCACATCTCCAGAAGAGGGGACATGCGTTCTTGGGCCCTCTTGTTGGAAGGACTGGGGTTGTCCGACCGGAGGCTTCTGTAACGGCTATGCGTTGTTGCCCTGCATACTTTAGTTGGATGCGCCGTAACCGCCTGCTGTTCCGCTGCTGTTCCACACTTAGCTTCATGGTCTCGAATTGAAACACAACATGAACTAAACCATAAAAAGAAAACTAAGCACATTGGGTTATCTACGGTATAAGTTTAATTGTCTCACTGGGACACTAATACTATTGCTGCCTAGGTGCTCAATAATATAACAGGGACATAGAGGAGCAACTAACCGTACATATGTACTCCGTACTTCCTGTACGGAGTACTCCTTAGAGTGTTTCTCC